CTGATAATAATTGAATTAGTGACTGATTTTCCTTTTATATTTAGTGACTGATTTAGTTACTAAAATTTCAGTCACGAAAATCGGTCACTGATTCGGTCTCCGAATCGGTCACTGATTCGATCTCTGAATTGGTCACTGATTCGGTTACTATTAGAAAAATGGTTAATAATGATCGAAATTAGTGACCAAAAAATTCAATTACTAATAATAACTCGAATCAATGACTGATTTTTCTTTTTATATATAGCGATCGATTTAATGACTACAATTTTAGTCACGTAAACAAATAATCTTTAAATTGGTGACTATTTCTCATTTATATAAATATTTTTAAAAAATATTTTAATAATATATTAAATATAAATCTACTTAATAACTTAAAATAATTGATCATATTTTTAATAACATTATAAAATTTTAAAAATAATTTACTAACTTATTAAATAATTTAGTAATATAATTATTTGATTTTATTTTTTAATTTTGTATGTGAATAAAAAAAATTAAAAATTATTATTAAATTAGTCACTGAATCGGTCATTAATTCGGTTATTGAATCTGATTATTGAATTAATTATTAAATTAATTATTAATTTAGTCTCTTTTATATATATATATATATATATATATATATATATATATATATATATATATTATTTGTATGTTAATAAAAATGTATTTATAAAAAAATTAAAATTATTTTAATTACAAAATTGATATTTCAAATTTATATTATAATATCTTGGATAATTTAATTATTGGATAAATATTTTAAGTTTATATTAGTCATTTTTATATAAAAATATAAATATTAAGTAAACTTATTTTAAAATTTAATTAAACATAATAATATAATATACTATTAACCATAAATATTTGAAGATTTAGTTAAAAATTAATTTTAAGTTTTATCGTATTTATTTGAAAAAAATTGTTAAAAAAATTCAGAATAATTAAAGTAAAGAAATTCAATTTAATAAATGTGTTAATATTATTATTTATTGGATAATTCAATTTATAATAATTATTATATAAATTATAGAATTAATAAAATTTAAATTATTCGTAATTTTTTTAATTAAACATAAATAATTTCAAATAAAAACATAAGATTTAATTATTAAGCTAAAATTCAATAATATTAATAAATAAAAAATAAAAAATAAATAAATGTATATATATCACTTAATTATTTAATTAAAATTAATTTCATGAAAAAATTAATATTTGAAAATATGAAAAAAATAATAAAAAAAGGATTTAAAAGATAAAACAAAAATTTTCATTTTTTTCTTAATATTTTGCTTTTTAAAAAAATGAAAATGAAAAAAATATAAAGATAATCCCTTTTACTCTCCCGAATAATAAATAATAAATAAAAAATAATATATAATTGAAAAAAAAAAACCCAACCCATTAGACTTTTTTTCATAAATAATACTCGTTTTCAAAAATATTTACCAAAATAGCACCTCTGCAACTTTATTTACACAACTAGCATCGTTCATCGTTCACGTAATAAAATAATATTATTTCGCGCAACTGTTCACTCGTTCATCGTATTAAAATAATATTATTTCGCAGTATTGAACTCTCGCTCAAGCGAAGAAAACCTTCGCTGAGCGAGGAAACTCGTAACAAAGGGGTAATCTGGGTAAATTCTCGCTCAGCGAAGGTTTTCTTCGCTTGAGCTGAAAGTATGATCGACTATTATCCAATTATAGTCGATCACTTTGACATATATGACTTTAGATAGCGGTTATTTGGCCAACCACTATCTAAACTACTACATTAGATAGCGGTTATTTGCCCAACCGCTATCTAAACTACTACTTTAGATAGCGGTTATTTGGCCAACCGCTATCTAAGGTGACTCAAGCGAACTGCGTTTGGCGTTTCATGATTCGGTCATTACTCGCTCAAGCGACAAAGTCACCGCTTGAGCGATGAAGCCTTCAAACAAGGGGGACTCTCGGGTTCTGTTTCGCTCGAGCGAGAAACCATCGCTTGAGCGAGAAAACCCGCAACTATTTACAATGCTCGAGTCACCCACCGAAGTCGGGATTCCCATGTCTTTCCGATGCACACAAGTAAAGAATCCAATGCCTGAGTTACCCACCTAAGTTAGGATTCCAATCTTGGATTCCCTGCATTGGGTTAGACAAAAAGCGAAACCATGTGAGGGAGCATTGGATTCCAATCTTAGACAAAATCTTGGATTCCAATCTTGGATTCCTCGCATTGGGTTAGACAAAAGCGGAAACCATGTGAGGGAGCATTGGATTCCAATCTTAGACAAAATCTTGGATTCCAATCTTGGATTCCCTGCATTGGGTTAGACAAAAGCGTAAACCATGTGAGGGAGCATTGGATTGAAACCAATGGACTTCATTATAAATAGACTACTTTCATTCTTTGAAGTTCTCACATTGCACACTCCTAAATCTCTGAAGCTATTTGCATTATTTCTTCTTCTTACCTTTAGTCTTCTTTGTGTTCCACACTCTTAAAATGGGTGTAGTGTCTACTATTGTCCACTATGATGGTTTCATGAACCCATGTCCCATGGAGGGAGTTACCTTCAATACTGGGACTGCAAAACTTGTTCCTTTAAAGAGAGGAATTTCTCTACAAAGGCTGAAAAAGTTGATCCACAAGAAATTGGAGAAAGAACCCCATGAAAATGTAGCAATCATCACTTGAGCGAGTAATGACCGAATCATGAAACGCCAAATGCAGTTCGCTTGAGTCACCTTAGATAGCGGTTGGCTAAATAACCGCTATCTAAAGTAGTAGTTTAGATAGCGGTTGGGCAAATAACCGCTATCTAATGTAGTAGTTTAGATAGCGGTTGGCCAAATAACCGCTATCTAAAGTCATATATGTCAAAGTGATCGACTATAATTGGATAATAGTCGATCATACTTTTCGCTCAAGCGAAGAAAACCTTCGCTTGAGCGAGAATTTACCCCAGATTACCCCTTTGTTACAGGTTTCCTCGCTCAAGCGAAGGTTTTCTTCGCTTGAGCGAGAGTTCAGTACGCGAAATAATATTATTTTAATACAGTGAACAGTTGTGCGAAATAATATTATTTTATTACGTGAACAGTAAACAGTGCTAGTTGTGTAAATAAAGTTGCAGAGGTGCTATTTTGGTAAATATTTTTGAAAACAGTATTATTTATGAAAAAAAGTCAACCCATTACATTTTACCTTAATATAATCTTTTACCCTAATTTTTTTAATCACGACTCCCTCACTTCTCATCTCCTCCTCACCCATGCAGCTCTCTCCTTCACTATAGTCCTTCCTCACTTTGTTTCTCAATATTTTACTCTTAAAACTCAATATATATATATATATATATATATATATATATATATATATATATGAAAAATATAATTTCTCTTGTTAACATTTTAAACTTTTAAGAAAAAAGAGAAAAATAATAAAATTTTCTTTTATTAATTGTTTCTATTTCTCAAATAAAATAAAATATATATATATAATAATTATTTTTATTAGTATTTATCTTTTTAACATAAATAAATAAAGAAAAAAGAGAAGGTAATTGTTTTTTACAATATAAAAAGAAAAGGAATAGATTTTTGGTCCAACCTAATATTAGAGTGGTTACCCTAAATTTTTATTACCTAATTCTTACGGGCATAACACCAAGAAAGGGCTACCTCTCACCATTTTCTCTTCTCTCTTATTCTCAATCTCCACCGCCCTCCATTTTTTATTGTTCAGCCACCCTCACCAACCAACCACCCAACTAATAAAATAATAACAAATAATAATAATTAAAATAATGAATAAATGAAAAAAAAATAACAAATAATAATGATTAAAATATTTATAATTTAGAATAGTTTATTCTTTTAAAGTAAACATGAAAATAAAAGAATTTTGAAGAACCAAACCACGGGGGTGGGTGACCTTTTTTTAACCTAAATCTTATCACTCTACTCCCACTGTCGGGCCACTCCCACCAGCTTTCCCATTTTCCCTTTCAACCTTATCGCGCCACCCGCACCTTGCCAATCACCCCCACCATCACCTCTCACTCCACTCCCATCGTTGGGCCACCACCTTCATCTCGCATCAGCCAAATACCCTTTTCTCTCCTCCTTCAGCAGACCCCATTCACCCAACATCCCAAAGCTCCTCTCCGCACCACCCTCGCCTCACTCACCATCTTCCTCACAACCACCACTGCGCGGGTTCCCATACAACATCTTCGTCGTGCCTCGAGCCACCACAGGTCGGTCTTGCCACCCGTGCCTTCACCAATACCTCTCAATTGCCTCCGCAAGCCCCCCCCCCCCCCTCCTTTTTTTAACCTCCATTTTCACTCACTCTCCCCGTTCGAGCTTCGCGGTGAGCCTGTATTTCAAATTTAGTTCATGGGGTCTAATGGGGTTCCTGTTGGTTTTATTGGTAGTAGGGTGTTGGTTTAATTTTGGGTTCATTCTGTTGATTTCATTTGTTTCGGCTTGAATTTAATGCTTTCATCTAGTTCTTTTTTTTTTGGGTTTAAGGTTGATGCTATCCAAATGGGGTGTGTTTGATATGGGTTAAATGCTATTGTTGAGCTGGCTGAGCTTGGTTCATAACTTGTGGCTGTTTAATTTCTCTTTATTTTCCAATGTCTGGGTTTCCTTTGTTGAATGTGGAATTGACAGGAGCAAAAGGAGGGATACTTATTTGGCTTATGTTGGTTTAGCTTTTCTTCGATTATTTGTTTGATTTTTGGATTGGATTTATTATGGGTTTGGATGGCTGGTGAGGATGCTAGTTTATTTTAATTTGTTATTCTTTGTCGATAGAACTATTCAGCATTATTTGATTTTTAATTTGTTGGTCATAAAAAAAATTATGCTTAATTTGGGAAAATTTACACTTGCAGCGAGAGTTGTTGAGAGGGATGATTACATTCATGGAGTCAAAGGAGAAACCGAAGGAGGTGGAGAGGTGTTTGGATCCTCAGCTATGGCATGCGTGCAGGTGGTATGATGCAGATGCCAGCAGTGAACACCAGGGTCTATTACTTCCCTCAGGACCATGCTAAACATGCATGTGGACCGGTTATCTTTAGGACCTTTCCTAAGGTTTTGTCTTTGGTTCCTTTGAGGTCCTTGCCAAGCTCAGGCTTGTTCCTTTGAGCCTCAATGATGTTGATTGTAGTCGTGATGTTCCTAGACCTAAAACTTAGGACAAGGCTGCTTCATTTGCAAGAACCTTGACCCAATCTGATGCTAACAATGGTGGAGGGTTTTCTGTTCCAAGGTACTGTGCTGAGACAATTTTCCCTAGATTGGATTACTCATTTGATCCTCTTGTTGAGAACATCCTTACAAGTACTTTTTGTCTATTTGATGTTATTACGGTAGGGTTACAATATAAGAATTATTTTTTACTTAAGCTATTGAATTTTGGGCTTTAGTAATTTGGGATATGAGTGAAGTGGGTGTCTAATTCTTTTCTAATCAGTTGGTTCCTTTACGTAGTTGTCGTAACTTTAATGTGTTTTTCTCTCTCTTATGTATGAAAATATATACTATGTGTGATAAAATTGACCCATGATATTTACAACCCCAGATATTCTCACCCCACTCCTTTTTAGTAATTTTATCTACGAAAATTAATTATTGCGTATCTTAACGAGATTACTCCATGGAAAGTTTTTTTTACTATCTTGTCAATACTTAATGGAAACTTTCCATTGTGTGCCTTACCACTTTGTTTGGCATTATCGGGTCTTTAAATATCAGATAGATTAATTATCTCTTTGTCAATTTTACCTTTTCTTGTCAATGATTTGTTTAATTATTCTTGACATCAAACATTATTTAACCCTAATTTATGTCTTTGGATTGAGGTAGTTGGAATTGTTTTGAAATATTTTGCCTTTTATTTTGCATGATAAATGATCCATGTATTCAAGTTGGTCCTTATGTTCAATATACTTTTGCATTGCATTGTATTTTAACTGTTGAAATAGTTTTTAGTCCGAAAGCCTAATTTTAATTAGTTACTCCTCCCTTTTGTATTGTGCATTTAAAATGCTACGTTGGCCATGATTGCAGATTGGAGTGCTTGAGGATACAAGAAATCGTATCCTGCATGGAATTTTACGTGTGCAAAGTTGCTTCAGGGGTCACTAAGCTCGTTGTTACCGCATGGAACTTTGGAGAGGAGTCACCACTCTCCAATCATGTATTTCTTTTTCTAACTTATTTTTTTCAACTTTTCACATTCCTTAAGAAGTGCAACTGCCTGACAGTAATATGTACCCCTTCATATTTTTATTAAAGGAGATAAAAGTAGAAAGGAATATGCAGCTTTGCTTCAGATACATAGGGTTGCTGTTATTATACAGAAGCGGATTAAAACAGCACTTACAAGGAACAAAATGACAAGTAATGGTGCTTCAGACACATCTACAGGGGCACGCCGAGGCGGCATCTGTTGACCATTGGATGGAGTACTTTTGTGAACCACAAGAAGCTGCAACAAGACTCAATTGTGTTTCTGAGGGCAGAAAACAGGGATCTGTGTGTTGGGATTCGGTGGGTGAAGAAGGGGATTGGTGGCGGACCTAAGGCTTCCTCGGGGTGGAATCCTGCTGGAGGAAATTGTCATATGCCCTATGGAGGATGACAATAGAATCCTTAGAAATGGTAATAGCAATGGGTTGAACCCAAGTGTGAGCATTATGGGCAGGGCAAAGTGAGATCGGAATTTTGTGTGAAGGCCCCACTAGTTGAAGCAGCACTGCGGACTAGGTGGTCTTTTGGAATAAGGTTCAAGATTACCAAATTTTGTACACAGAAATTAACTCCATGAATTGCCAAGTTCAAAACATGGCCCAATACAAAAATTTGTATGTATAATAGACTTGGATATGAGATAAGCAATACAATTGGGAGAAATCTTATTAGGATTCTACTTTAGTTTATTTTACTTACTTTTAAATTAAATTTTTAATATACAATAAAGTATATATTATATTTGTTTTGTTAGTTTATGACATGTACAGAGTTATGACTTTTATTTTAGTTTATTCTATTTATTTTTAGATTGAATCTTTTATTTTAGTTTATTCTATTTATTTTTAGATTGAATTTTTAATATGTAAAAGTATTTAATCCATGAATGTTGAATTTATTTGGATTAAAATTTGTTGTATTTATTTTGATGGTTATTAATATAATATATAATGTATTTCATATTTCTTAATCAGGTTTATTGTTATTTTAAAAATAATAGTAAAAAGAAAATTAGTGATCGATATAGTGACTGATTCGGTCATATCACTGAATCGGTCATTAATCAGTCACCAAAGAAATAATGATCGATTCTAGTTGGTCACTATTTTGATTATTATTTTAGTTAGTGACTGATTGGATTATTTAGTGACCGAATTTTTAGTTATTATTTGATGTTTTTTTGTACTGAGAGAAGAAATAATAAAAATACTTTAGAAGGATTTTAAAACATTCAATGGTTTAAAAATAAAAAATTAACACTTATAAAGATAAATATAGGTGTAAAGGTAAAATAAGATTTAATTTTATTACGAAGATAAAGAAGAAATTACGAAGATAAAGGAAGAAATCGTCTTTTCTTTTATCAAAGTTGAGTTGATTCACCTAAACATAAGGTGGGGCTTCTTGTTCCTATTTTACTCATAGTGTGTTTATATAATTAGGCTTAAAAAGTGGACCTAACTACCAATACAAAATAAATCCAATTACAACTACTGAAATTAAATCTTAATTATATATCAAAAAATATAAAGAATTATTATTATGAAAAAGGAGTATTTTATTTTATGTTCATTGTCATTTTTTATTAATTGTGTATTTTTTTATTTTTTTTGTCATTATCCATACACTCTTCAAGTTTCTTTAACATTGTTGCAATTCTCTTGGTTTGTTACTAAGGAAAAGAATTAGGACACTCCTGACTTTATTAATTCAAACAAAGTGGCATATAATTATTATTTCAACACGTCAAAGTTCTGAATATCAAATATTTGATCATCCTTCTAATCTATTTTATTCCCACGGATAATCTTATGCTCCATCGGTTGTCTAACATATTTAGACAATCTTAAGTACCGATCAGATATTGTGTAACATCCTCAGATAATGTGATTCCAAAGTCTAATTCTATAATATTTTCAAAGTTAAGATGTAACATAAAAAAAAAAAAAAAAAAAATATATATATATATATATATATATATATATATATATATTAAAACATGAATCATATTTTACAATTAAAACATGAATACTGAAAAAACGTCGAAATTTCCGAAATAGAAAGACGTGAGCCCAACGAATGCAAATTATTGGTGACAACCTTGCATAGTTGACCTGACAAATTTAGATTTAACAAGGATATCTTATTAAAATAAAATACAAAATGAACAGGGATATCTCCAGAATTTTTTTTTTTAATTAGATGATGTCTGATTTTTGTCAAATTTTGTATGTGGTAGCTTTAATGAATAGGTGTTGTTTATATTAAACTCATAGAATAAACGAATTAGAATTTAATTTAATTTTAATTTTTTTTAAATTCAACATATAATGGCACTAACAACCAAAAGTTTCCATAAACCATGATAGAGATTTTGGGTGAATTGGATTATTATTTGCTCTAGAATTAAAAACTAAATAATCTCTTTTAATATTATATATATAAACTTAAAGATTGAAAAGAAGTTACACTTTTAGGCTTATGCAAGAAAGGATTTATATTTCTTTCATGACAGCCAATGTTTCATCATATAATTCATTGATTTCTATATTGTTTGTGGAGATTCTCGTTGCATTAAGCCATCATAAATATGAAAGTCATGTGAATAGATATTATACGTAGAGATTAGACTTAGCTTATATCAGAATTCAGAAAGCATTTCTGATATTTCATGTTAACTGTCACATGCATGTTTAGACGTAGCTACGATATATCAGAATTTCTTCTTTATATATATACTTCCTAAATGTTCATGTTTAGTATTGTTTACTTGAAATTGTTTGTGTAATGAGTTCAATTATTACAATACATTATACAGATATAATATTATATGAATTTAGAAAAATTATTTAAAATGATGAAAAAATTATTATTTTAAATTTTGATTTGAACATATTTTTAATTTTATAATATGGACACGTCTTTATTTTTTTGTGTCCCTAAATTTGAAAATAATTATTTTTCATTCTTAATATTTAGCAATACAAGTTAACTGCTTATTTATTGAAAAATATAAAATAAGAGATCACTATCCCAAATGAGCTCAGTAGTAACTATCATATAATGTCATCTTATTAATCTTTTAAAACAATTTATAATTCTTAAAATAAATTATAATGTTCTAAAAATGAAAAGTTCAGAGGAAAATAAATAATGAGTTAAAATGAATAATAAAGATAAAAATAGTAATTTCAATTTTTTTAAGATGAAATTTTTTTATAAATTTACAAAAAACCATATAAGAATTAAGAATATTAATTTTAAAAGAGAAAAAGTAAAAAATATGTTTAAAATAATCAAATTTTAAATCTGACTTCCAAAATGTCATTGTTTCGAGTAATAATGGATTCCGTTTTTTTGAAAAAGTCTCAAATTATATATATATATATATATATATATATATATATATATATATATATATATTTATTGAATTCTTAATCATTTGATGAAGATTATTTACTAAATCTTTAAATAAATTTTTGTTAACTCTTAAATAGAAGAGTTTTTTTCTTTATTGTTCCTTCCGAAACTCATGTAGTCTTTGTATGGGAAAATAAATAATTAAAAAAGAGAAGACAGTGGTTTATAAAGCTGTAAATTGTTTTGAAAAAAAAAAATATGTCGCTTGAGGGTATTTTAAATATTCAAAGTTCGTCATCATAATTAATTTTATTTATGATAGAGTCTCTTTCATCTTGAAATTTAAACTTTTTTTTGGTTGAATGTATTTAAGATTTCTATGTGAGGTTTAAGGTTAATTATTATTTCTTTCTTCTTTTTTGAAGATAAGTTAACTATTATTTGATTAACCAGTTGAAGGCATCATCATTGTCCAATATATAATGCAAAATTGAGTTGGTCCAACCAAACAAACATGTTTGTTATAATGCAAGCACGTCAATTCTCCAATTTAAGAATATAAAAAACAATACGCAAAATGGCACCTTTTGGTGTTATTGGTAGCTTCTAACTAACTGTCGTGAAAAGTTACCTTGATTTTTTTATTTGGCATAAACAAATGACGTTTGAAAGAGTTTCTAAATAAATCATTACACTTTTTGTTCCTCTAAAGTCAACAAAGACAAGAGGATAGTAGGTTCATTCTGAGAGGACAAAATCATTTATGTTTTAACTAATATTTTTAAAATTAAAGTATTAAAAGAAATATCTTTTTTTTAAATTATCTTTATTACTAAAATTAATTTGATCTAAAAATTCAATAAATTTTTATTTTTATAGTGGTTCAATTAAAAGTCAACGGACTGGGTCATTCTAATAATTTGAACCGCTTAAAAAAAAAATCGAACTAGAAAGTTGAACCTATCTCATAAAAAACAAATCTAAAAAAGTTCATTACTTATAAATAATTAAATTTTAATTAAATTGATATCAAATTAATAAAATTAAAAAAAATGACTGAATTTTTTTCTCATAAAAAAAATAAAGATCAAATTTTTAATTTATAAAAATATAATAAGTTTTAATTTTTTTATTCATATTAATGCTAATTAATAATTATTTTATTATATTTTTATTTTTTTAATTATTATTCATCCTTTATTCTTTAATATATTTTATATTTATAATTTTTATTTTAATTTACGACGATTATGATAATATTTTTTTATAAAAAAGTATTATTAATAAATATACTTATTGTACTATATTTATTAAATTTTGTTAGTACTCTGATTAAATATCAATTAACTTTTAAATCTTAAACTTCTTCGATTTAATAAGAGGCGCGGTATTAGAAACGTTAGTTGAAAGACATTAATTTGAATGAATGAAATATTAGGAGGAAGGAATGGTATGTACTCAAAGAAAGCTTTGGAAGTACTTATCACATTCAATCATCTGCCACCAATTCAAAATTAACCTAAATTATCATTATTCATTTTATGTTAATGATTAATCTATCTTGAAATGTTTGATTAACTATTCCTAGTGGAATTTTTGTAACAGAGATAGGCATTCTCACGTACAAGTAATAAATTATAATTAATAAGAATCAACAAAAATGGTTAGCAATGAGATAATAAAGAAAAAAGGTGGTGGAAGTTACCACCTTCGTCCTTCCAGAGTAGAAGTGACCATGCTGAGAGAAAAACATGCAACGAGAAAAGACAGTTTGTATTGTAGATATTTTGGTTTGATTTCACTGTTGTTTATGGGGGCATGCTTGGTTGGACCGGACACACAAGTGGGGGGTTTCAACCAACGTGTTTCTCTATTATTAGCAAAGCAACAATACAAAACATTTATATACTGATATGAGATATATCTTTCTGATGCCATTTTTGACTATTACATCTTTCCCTCTAACAACACCCTTCTATCTTTCTTCACGCACGATTAATCCAAAACCATCAAACACCTTGAACTCCTACGCCCGTGACATTATTCATTTCACAGAATCATAATCAATTTGGCAACCCCTTTGTCATTGATGTCATCAGAAAAAGAAGGGAAGGATGAATCATCAACATGGATTCTTGAGAGCATTGAGATTCACCCCACGCAGGAGATGCCTACAGGGAATGATGAACCACCCCCTGAAATAAGCACGGTGCTAAAATCTCCTAATGAATGTTCTCGGAACAATGTGCGGAGCAGGAATGGTAGTCAGGAGACTGGTAGTCAGGAAAATGGAGCGAAGAAGATGGTGAGGGTGGAATCAGGAGCAGCCAGAGGGATTAAGGGTTTACGTTTTCTTGATAGAACGGTCACTGGGAAGGAAGATGATGCATGGAGGTCCATTGAGAAGCGTTTTGCTCAACATGCAGTTGATGGAAAACTCTCAAAAGACAAATTTGGAACCTGCATGGGTACATTTACCTCTTTTGTTTCAATGGGTTTGCAATAGAGCAAAACATAAATGCAATTCCACAAGGTTTTTGGTACCGTTTTCTAGTCAGAATTAGAGTTTTCCTCAGTAATTTGTGTAATAAAGTTTGCATGCCTTTATTAGAAGATAACGACACCAAAAAAAACTTTGAAACAGCATCCAAGATTTTTCCTTCGTAATATAGTTAGTTGTTATAATTAGTGGCTAGTTTGTAAGATGCAAATTAAACTGTGTTGCACAGGCATGGGAGCAGATTCAAAGGATTTCGCTGGGGAGCTGTATGAGGCTTTGGCAAGGAGGAGGAAAGTCTGTGCAGAAAATGGGATAACTTTGGATGAAGTTAGATTATTTTGGGAGGACATGACTAACAAAGATCTTGAATCAAGGCTTCAAGTTTTCTTTGACATGTAAAGCACACAAACACTCTCTGTATTCCTTTTGCATGTTGCATTCTTATTGAATGGATTGGCATAAATGAATTCAGTTATTTTCAGGTGTGACAAGAATGGGGATGGTAGGCTATCAGAAGAAGAGGTTAAGGAGGTAAGCACTAAGGCCACTTATACTTGTCATTAATCTCTTTCTCTCACTTCAACTATATTGAAACAATTCTAAATGTCATTATTTAAAAGGTTATAGTGTTGAGTGCCTCGGCAAACAAGCTAGGAAATCTCAAACTACATGCTGATGGGTATGCAGCTTTGATAATGGAAGAGCTTGACCCTGATCATAATGGATATATAGAGGTCAGAAATGAACAAGTTCTTACTGCTTTCTTCTTTTCTTCAGTTTTGTATTAACCTTCAGCTTTTGTATTCTTATTTTTCTTTTTAAACAGATGTGGCAGCTAGAAACTCTGCTGAAGGAAATGGTTAGTTCTGAAGATGGACCCAAAAAAATTAATAATACTAGAGCCATGACTTTGAGTAGAGCTATGATACCGAGCAAGTATAGAACCCCCATGAGCAAATACATGTCTAGAATCACAGAATTTGCCGTAGATAAATGGAAAAAAATCTGGGTTATCGCAGTATGGTTGGTCATAAACTTGGTGCTTTATATTTGGAAGTTCAAGCAATATAGGGACAAGGGTGCCTTTAGAGTCATGGGTTATTGTGTCTGCTTTGCAAAGGGTGCTGCTGAGACTCTCAAGTTCAACATGGCTCTTATTGTCCTAACCATGTGCAGAAGAACACTTACAAGGCTAAGAGAATCGTTTCTAAGTCAAATCATCCCTTTTGATGACAATATAAAATTTCACAAGATGATAGCAGTAGCTGTGGTTATAGGGACTTTAATTCATGTAATGGTGCATATCACGTGTGATTTTCCAAGATTGATATCGTGCCCAAAACTTAAGTTCATGGCAATACTTGGGGATGGTTTTAACTATGAGCAACCTGATTACATGACCCTTGTTAAAAGTACTCCTGGTGTAACTGGAATTATAATGGTCTTGATCATGGCTTTTACCTTCACTCTAGCCACACATTATTTCAGAAAAAATGTTGTCAAATTACCTTTGCCTTTGAATCGATTGGCTGGTTTCAATTCTTTTTGGTATGCACATCATTTGCTGATTGTGGTTTACATACTCCTGATCATACATGGCTACTATCTATTTCTCACCAAGGAATGGCAAAAGAAGACGGTATGTTTAGTTCTATCATTTTTCATTGCTCTGACTACCAACAAACTACATCTTTTAATTTTTCAAAAGTCTTCTCTCAAAATGCAGTTTCAACACCTATCCACTTGTAAACTGAAATAAATTGTGGTTTATTTACTGCTCATAACATATGTCATTGAACTTTATCCACCCATCATTTGTTGATGAAGTACACTTGGTATTCTGACCCGATTTCTCATTCTTCACGTCCACTTTTACATCATATAATTTTGGCAGGCCACTATCCGAAAATGTTTAGAAATCAGTTGACAATATCTTTGATTAATGCAGACTTGGATGTACCTTGTAATTCCACTATCACTCTATGCCTCTGAGAGAATTCACCCATTTTTTAAGGGTAAAGATCACCGAGTAAATGTCATCAAGGTATGTGTTAATAAATTCTCCATTGTACTTCATGCTGAAGCATGGGATGATTTTATCACTTGGAAATTTCAGGCAATAATATACACAGGAAACGTCCTAGCACTATACATGACCAAACCCCCTGCATTCAAGTATAAAAGTGGAATGTATGTGTTTATCAAATGTCCAGATATATCTAGTTTTGAATGGTAATGACCATTACTCTTGGCTAATAGTGATCAGAAAAAAATATTTATCAGCAAAAATCACTTTTAGGATACTCAAAATGATTCTTGTTACAGGCATCCTTTCTCCATCACTTCTGCACCAGGAGATGACTACTTGAGTGTCCATGTACGAACCCTGGGAGATTGGACAACAGAGCTTAAGAATACATTTACACAGGTGATTTTAATTCTGAACTGTGAACTCAAACCTATGTATTTAATTAGTCAAAGGGTCATAGAAATGTGATAATTATTGAACATCTAGTTGCACTAATACTTAGAAATGCAGGCTTGTGAGCCTCACAGTGCACAAACAAGAAGGGGAAGCCTAATGAGGCTGGAAACTAAAGCAGCATCTTCAAACTATGGTCATTCTACAAAATCAGGGTGAATAGCAACTCTTTGTTCTTAGCTTTCCAAAATGACTATAAATATTGATATTATCTGCTTTTTCCAGCATTAGATATCCAAAGATCCTCATCAAAGGACCCTACGGAGCCCCAGCACAAAATTATAAAAACTATGATGTCCTCTTGCTTATAGGTCTCGGAATTGGTGCCACACCAATGATCAGTATTTTAAAAGATATTTTGAACCACATGAAGTCAGGAAGCCCAGACGTAAGTGACAAGGTTTTTCATACTTCTTTGGTTGGCTTGGCAGCATATCTGTATTTGAGTTTAATAGGCATGTATTGTCCATATAGAAGTTTTGACTTCGTCAATCTAGTACAAAAAATCATCTTTAGTATGACTCTTAAAGTTGTTATTATGAAAGCCTAAACTTAAATTGCAGGTCCACTTGTAATTGGACAACAGCGAAATGAGTCCATGTGTTTTTATTGTTTGTGTTCTATACATAAGTTCCAATTCAAGGGGCTAACATAGCAGTGTACCTATATGCAGAACTCAGTTCAGGGTAATCATGCAGATGAAGTTAAGAAAGGTCCTGAAAGAGCATACTTTTATTGGGTAACAAGAGAGCAGGCATCATTTGAATGGTTTAAAGGTGTCATGGATGATATAGCAGATTATGACCACGATGTAAGATTGAAGACTAAATTCAACTATTTCCCGGTTTTGTTTCGTCCATGTACATAATATATTTCGCTGTATAGTGACCTTTTAGCATGTTTAAATGATGCAGGGTATTATAGAAATGCACAATTATTTGACTAGTGTCTATGAGGAAGGTGATGCAAGGTCTGCGCTCATTGCCATGATTCAGAAGCTGCAACATGCAAAGAATGGAGTTGATGTAGTTTCAGAAAGCCGGGTATTCATTGATTTACCACCCATTAAGAGTAAAAACAAAACATGGATACAATATTATAGTAGGTGTTGTTGGTTCTGTTTTCCAATCAGAATTGAAGTTTTATCAAGAGGTTTACATAATAAAGGAATCATTAATTGTCATCGTATGTTACCGAGGTAAAATTTTAAAATATCATTGGAGAGAAACATTAACAACACCTATAGAAATGTACCCAGTTTTGTTCTCAGTGTAAAACCTTTGACCATATGTTAAGTTTTTATGATGTTACCATTTGTCAGATAAGAACACATTTTGCAAGACCAAACTGGAAAAAAGTCTTCTCAGAATTAGCAAACACGCATCAAAGTTCTCGGATAGGTAACAAAATTGTGATACTTTTCGTGAAATTCTACACAAAAATCAATGAAAGAAATGAAAAAATTATCTGCTGTTTTCTTGATGCAGGTGTATTCTACTGTGGAAGTCCATCTCTTACGAAGGTACTGAAGGAGCTATGTCAAGATTTCAGCCTAAACTCATCTACCCGCTTTCAGTTTCACAAGGAGAACTTCTGAAGGAAAAATTCACACAGCATCAAGGCTTAATCAAACAGTAGAAGACTATACAGAATCTAGAGTGAATTTGGATCAAGCCTTTGTAACTTTATTGTATGTATTTAGATGTAAAGGTGGTGTTGGTTTTTTTTAGATGCTTGTAGTGTTTGTATCTTCTTTTTATCAACCTTTATGTCCCTCCTTTCTTAGTCTATTCGTAAATTTTTTTCATACGCTCAAAACTTGATCTTCATCAATCTACCTGAGAACTCGGTAAATAAAACATGAAATCTATGAATGGAAATCGGATAAAGGAATAGTAAACCAGTAAATTCTACTTTAAAATTAATGATTTATCAATTCCTTCCTTTCCTATTTACTTCATAGAACTACGCTACAAAAGTTGAAGAAAGAATAAAAATTAATGGTAAATAATTTCACACTAAAACACCATATTATGCTATTACTTTTAACTTGATAATTTCTTCTTTTTTTCTGACTATTTTAGGAATACTTATGAAAAGTTTCTTTAAAGATTCACGTGTATAGGGTATTAATTCATTTCATCATAGTTTTAAGTTCAATAACTTGAATAAACTTTTACTCTTAAAAGATGGATTAAAGGAGAAATATATTAAGTTATCTTTCGGTCTTAAAATGTGAAACTTTTTCACAATTAAATAAGTGTAAGTCACACTAAGAAATAAGAGTAATTTCAAACCTTTATTTTTATTTTAATAAACTACACTAATGTTCCGATTTTAAGTTTATTTAAAATAGCATAGTTAAAGTAAATGGTTGTCTAGATTTTTTTATTTTTTTTCACAAGTCCATTGTAGATTAAGATAAAATAAATTGAGGATGGGATGTAGATTTTAGTTCGTGTGAATTTTGCGGTTGGAGACTAAGAAGGACTTGGAACATAGATATGGTGTGGCTTTGTTTTTGGAAAAATATAGGGTAATTGTTCCCTACCTGAGAATATTAATACTTTTTTTTATTCTTAGTGTGGCTATGTTTCTGGAGAAAATATAGGGTGATCGCAAATAGTTATTAGAATCTAGAGGATGAGTTTATGGTAAGCGCAATTCAAGTATGTATAGTAATAATGAAAATATAGTGTAGAAATTAATATGGTGGGAACGTGAATATTTTTAAAAAATAGAATATCCACTATTGTTATGCGATTTATAGTTATAATTTTCCTTTTTAAATGAAACACGGTGTTAATACTATTTATAAACAATAAAATCTGATATTAATCTGAATTTACTAATCATCTACTATCAAATATTATTAATAAAACTAATGCCTTTTTCAGAGGTCACGAGATACATTTTTAGCAAATAATTCTGTGATGATATCACATTTATCAACTATATCTACTTACTATCAAATCAATTATAATATTTTGCCAATTCTTGAATTTGATATTTCCAAATTCATCAGCATTGTGCCTGTGATCTATGATCCTGTTTTTATTTAACAAAACAATCTCAGTCACTCTTTTATATCAGTTAAATAACAACCTTGAGATCCAATGAATAACAAATAGTTGGTGAAATATATTTTTCTATCTTTGAAATCCTTAAGAACCATTAAAAAACAAAAGATTCTACAATAAGCATGCTTGTTCACCAATTATTTCCGTTCAGATTTTGAACTATGCATATACTTAACTAGTTTTTAGTACATAATATTCAGTTTCAGTAGCAGAAAGTTAAAAACAAAAACAAAATAATCCTAAGAAATCCCCTTTCTGGCAAATGAAATCAGTCACCACTAGCACAGCCCCTGCAACCACAATGAACACACTCTATAACCTTCTCCTCCCTAAGTTGTTTGGGAACTCTGCAAACACAAGTGGTGGCAAAATTGTGATCGCGAGGCTGCATGCACCCCAAGCAACATAGACGTTCATAACCAGGCTGAAATTCAAACAAAAAAAACCTCCATGATTTAATTACTCAAATTCAATAAAGCACATAGAAAGCACAAATGAGACAAAAATACCACTGCACTAGCTACATATTTTAACAGTTCTCAAAAATAGTCTTAGAAGCAGTATCAACAACAATATAGACTCTGTAAATGGATTAACTAAAGTCAATATAAGGGTAATGTTGTTCTTGACATTCCTTCCTGACCAATAACAATAACAAAGCTTATCCACTGGGTGAGATCAGCTGCATGGATCGCATGAAGCCATCTGGTTCGATTAAAACCCAAAATTTGAGAGATATATTTCACAAATCTTCAAAATCAGACTGACATTTGAGTTGAGAATCTTGGATGGCGGCATGAAGCGGTCAGATCAAAGTTCTACAGCAGGAGTCAGGATGGAAGCTATACTGAAGATTTTGTATGCAAGTTAAATAATTTATAATTTATACTATACATATAATATAAATGCTAAATAAAAATTATAAGACATTCATAGATAATAATCAAAAGGTGTAGTGATATAATCTAGACAGAGCACACAATCTAATCAAGTCGAAGGCATAACTAACATGGCAGTGACAACAAAAGTGAAGAAACATAAGGCTGCAAAGAGGAAGGAAAAAACAGAGGAATAATAGCATTGATTATGAAACCACACCTTGAGCAAATACATTAGGAAAATTCCTTTCAAAAGACAACACAAGGTGTGCTTTATCACAAATAGAATTCAATCACTTAGTCATTGGTAACTGGATAATTTTTTATCCCCCTCTAGTTGTACTAAACAGTTTGAACAATAGAAAAATATAACTCAATGTAGGTACCTTCTTCCACTTTGCAATTAGATTGCGGTCAGCATATCCTTGATCTAAACAGAATTCATACAAATCGTTAGAGATTTCCTTCCTCTGATGGTAGAGATCGAATATGTAGCGACTCTTCTGGTGTGCAATCTTAAATATAGGCCATAATGTCTCACATTTTCTCTTGCCATCATGTGAATCATTCTCAGCTGTCAGTAAGGAATGTAAAACAATTACATTCATGGGTTTCAGAAAGAACATAATAAAATCTAGTCGGGCAAGCATCATAGAGGAAACACCAACCTTCCCTCATCTTTCCTTGAAGTTCACGGAGAGTAGGCTCAATTAATTCCCAGCCCTCTGGGTATTTAACACGATTTGTCTTAACCTTCGGCATTTTATATCTGCTAAAGGAAAATATAACATCTAAGGGTTAATTTCCACATATTCTATTAGCATTGGAATAGAAAGAACGTGAATTAAACAGGGAAAAAGAAAAGGTAAAATAACATAGAAACTGAAACTGGTTATCATAAAATAGGGAAAATAGAGATATAAAACAAACTTTGAATGAACAAAACTATTCTTATATATACAAGCAAGACTATACCTAAAGAAGAACTGAAAATAGAAACTGATTCTCAATGCCAAGTAAGACATGGCACAGCAAAACAAACTTCAAAGACTCTCAGGTTCTTGACAGATATTGGGAAAGGACCAATTCTCACAAAAAACTGAAGCAGGGAAAAATACAACCATCTCCACATGCCCCACCTTGAACCCACCAAAAAACCAATGCAAGCGAGTTGAATTGCATTTGAAAAACAAATTGAGAGTCAACCCACCATGACTGGGCAGGTTGGGGAACCTAACAATAAATTACATTAATTTAACATTAAAAAAACCGAAAATAAAATTATCTCCAAAACATTTGACAATATTCAAGTCAACTCTGTAATTTCACAAAAATAGTCACTCAACAAGGTAATTCAAACAAAGAAAAAGCAATAAAAATAGAACTTAATAGAATTTAATATAGATGAAATTAATAGATTGAAGACACAATTGTTTGAAGAGATTGAGATGAAGAACTTGGGTATTTTAAAGTAGATTTTGGGCATGAATATCAACAAGAACAAATTTGAATGCTTCCTAATATTATCTCAAGAGAAGTATATTGGGAAAGTGTTAGAGAAATTCAATATGTAGGATGCCAAAATCGTAAATACACCTTTGTGAGTTCATTTTAATCTCTCTAAAAAGGAGTCACCTAAGATAGATGAAGACAAGACAATAATGACTAAGGTTCCTTATACATCTACAATTGGTAGTTTAATGTATGCAATGGTATGCACTAGACCAAACATTGCTCATGCAATGGGAGTTGTTAGTAGATTCATGTCTAATCTAAGAAAGAGGCATTGGAAAGTTGTCATGTAGTTGTTATGCTACTTGAAAGGTACTTCTAGATCTTTATTATGTTTTAGAAGAAATAATATCATTTTGGAAGAATATTTCGATGCAGATTTGGGAGGTTGTTTAAATACAAGGAAGAGTACTACAAGATTTATCTTCACAGAAGGTAGCACAGCAAAGAATCCTGTTGACCAAGGAGGTTACTACTGAAAAGTTAAAGTTTTGCATAACTTCAACTGGCCTTCATGGTTAATTGTTGAGAAGGTATTGTACTAGCTTGATGTTGTTATAACTTTGAGGTTTATTATATTTACTTTTGAGTGTTCTTGATGTGACCAGTCTCTAAGTGGAAGATTGTTAAGTATATAGAGTCTGAAGGGTTATTAGGTCTAACTCATTTACTTATTCTTTTATTATAAATAATCATGTAATTGTAAACTTAATTAAATAAATGAAAATTATCATCTAGTGCAGTTGTGGACATAGGTCATTTTGAATGAACCATATAAATTTCTTATGTTCTAGTTATTTATTTTCGTCTTGTAGTGCATTTGTGTTCCCCAACAACTAGTATGAGAACCAATGATTTATGTGGCAACCGGCAGTTTGTCAATGATCTTTGTATTGAAAGTCTTTTTAACAGTGGGTCAAGTAAGCGTATCTCATTATGATGAACAACGGTACATGAAAGCCTCACTAGTGAGTTCGAGGAGATGTACCATTGTGAAGGAATTCATACTTGAGGGAGAAATTATTCAGAAATTCAAATGTGAGACTGGGTCTCACATTGAGTAAGAATGAAAAAGTTTAGTAACATATAAGGATGTAAGATTCATAACCCAATAACTTAAAGTTTTGGGTTAAGAGTGCTATCAATACCTTATCTGGGTTGAACTCATGTATCAATTATATTGTTTCTCCCAGGAAATTTCCCTTGAAAGATCCAACAAAAAAAAAATACTTACACTAAGTCGTTTCGCAAAGGTCATGACAAGGTCTGGAAAGAATTCAATGAAACATAGTGACAAGACTTCATACAATAAAGAGTTGTCCTTAAATATACATGATCTAAACTCAAATCATCCCAATCCCAGAATTAAGGACCAAACCTAGGCTTGAAACATAACAACCCTCTCACTAAGCTATGAAAAAATAGTTCCACCACTATCATCTGTCACATCCACGTTTTAACATTAGCTGGTTAAAACCCGTTTTAACATTAGCTGGTTAAAACCCCTCTACTTACAATAAAAAAAAAAAAAAACCTTCAGTTCTAATATTATATCTAGAGTAAAATTAAAATCACCTTTCTTTCCCCTAGTAAGAACTTTGAAAGAAAAATCTTGTACCAACAAACCAAAAACAGACACTAGCATAGCACAGTAAACAATAAAATCTCTTTAATCAGTAAACCCAAATCATTCTCAAAATTAAGATGTGATCAAAACTGCTGACAATCAGCTCCACCAAGTACAGGAACAATCATTTGACAAAAAAAAAAAAAAATCTATGAATAAACTAAAACTTAACGAAAGAACAAGGTAGCGTACCTCAAATATAGCTTAATCCGCAGCCTCCCAGAGGAAAAACAAGTCGAACTAGATGACTTCAAAAGAAGACATACATATTAACAAATTTAAGCATAAGATTGGAGATTTCTTTGTGTATCAAAATGTGACAGAATTGGGGAAAAAGATGTTCTTCGTGTAGGGTTAGCTTCAATTTTGAAAAGGAGAGAAAGATGTGAAATCTGAAATTTTAGTACGGAGTGCAGAGTAACCCAGTGTGGAAGGGTGTGAAATTGCACCCTAACTTGTACAAATTTTAAAATTACCCCACAGTTATATATATATATATATATATATATATATATATATATATATATATATATATATATATATATATATATATATATATATATATATATATATAAACTCATGATATCAAAATGCATACTTTTATACTCTAAAAAATACTACTTTTGGCCTTAACTTTAATGTAACAAAACTGGGTATGTAGGAAAAAAAAGACAAACTTATAAATTATTTAACACAAGAATTTAAGTATGATATGTGATTTATTTATTTTTTATCTTCTCCTTTTTTTTTAAGTTTAGTTATGTTTCTTATCTCAAGTACACATATAAAGACAAAAAAAAAAATTACGTCCTAAGAGAAGAATATAATTTGCTAAATAGTTGTTAGTATTATTTTGTAGGAAATAATTAAATATACTTTAATTTTATCATTTTAGAAGATAATTAATATTAAAAAAAATTAAAATACTTCTAATAATTATTGACTATTTTTTTTAGAGAATAATAAAATATACTATAGTTTTAAAACATAATTATATAAAAATTTCTACAAAATTTATAAATAATGTGTATAAATGTTATATTTATTAATAAAAATATAGCATACAATTATTTTGTTATTTTTAGAATTGTAAATGTTAGTCTTTTAAGTTATTGGTATAATTAAAAATATTTTCAATGTTTGCTATGCAATTTTACATATATAATCAAATTGCCAAGTGAAAGAAAAATTCTTGTCGATTCCCTGTTCTAAGTTTCATGTTATTAAAATTTAGAGTGTTTCCAACTTGTATAATGTCATACACATTATTTTAGAAAGACCCTTTTTTAAAAATAATTTTATACAAATAATGCAATTTACTTATGTAATATAATATTTTTGTTTAATATATAATATAATATTTATGTATGACATTATTTGTTTAAAATATTCATGATTCAATGACCATATCTGTATGGATGAGAAATGAGTAAAATATTACAATCAAATACAATGGTGATTTTTGACAAAAACTTAAGTGTTTTAACTTGTAATACTGATGCAACATTCTTTTATTTAAATCGGCTTTACAATGTGTTTGAGAGCTCAGATGGAAAGGTTCATGCAATCTTTAAACAATAATTTTTTATTTATTTTAATTTACATAATTCAGTCGGACAGAATGCATTAATTCGGCTATGCACACTTTGGCACACAGTTTAATATATGAGCAAGATCATTTATTTCGTATCGGTATTCATAATTTGAAAATATGATATTTCTATTTAAAAAAAAAACTAATATATTATTCTAAGAAATTAAACCGAGTCTTGTTCAAATTCACAAAATTGGTTTTATAAGTTAGGATTGTAACATAATTATACTAGTCAAATAATTATCCTAGATTATAGTGATTACATGGAAGCAAAAATCGAGATGAAAGACATAAGAACATCCACATGCTGATGTTAGGTAATCATAAAGAACGTTGTCAACGAACTTTTGTGATTAATTGTTGGTGACCATAGCTATGTTAGCATGGTTATGGACGATAAATATACAGCAGCAAAGTGACCAATGGAACTTCCAATAAGGGTAGTTGAAAATGAAGTTTATGGCAGCTGTTGATATAAATACATTACTCGAAAATGTAAAATGAGATGCATCGTATTTAAAGCATTGGAAAAATTATCATGAATATTTTATATTTATTAGAAAAAATTTCAACAGCACTTATCCAAAGTTGCATGTGTATCCTATCAGTGTCCTCTATGTGATATCATCTTCCACTTTCGTCATGCCACGTTAACACGAATGATCAGCGTCATCTTATCGATTGACAGTTGAGACTATATATGTACTCTTTCTGTAGGCTGTAAATGTAGTGTGATCCAAGCACAAAAACAGCAGTTACCTTTTCACTCACTCAAAAAGTTACAATTCTAACAAAAAATTTATTTACCACATGTGCATTAACTCGTCCGTTTGCATCGTGAAGGATGAACAACTCAAAACTCATCGTGCACGATGAGAAACTCGAGATTGATGAATGAAGGACGCCCGGTACACATTAAATAGACTTAAAAGACATTACAGGTTGGGACCATATAATGTCATACATGCAAAAATTCTGGTTTGAAAACTTCTATATGAATTCAACATATCAGTCATAATGTATATTTATCAAATCGATAACCAAACTAATGACAACAAACAAACAACAACCTAAGGTGGTTGAAAAACATTGAGAAATAAGTGACATCAAGTTCATTGTAATGTCTTATGGGATAAAATAATAATCTTGGCATCATCATACCTGGATATACCATATACCCACCGGATTTGTACCAGAATGAAAGTATTGAACTTTGACATGGAGCAACAACCAAAGATCCTACGTACAAGACTAAGTACTGCTCTTGGTAGTTGGTACATTCCAGAATGACTAATTTTCTAAGAATATTAAACAGACTGTCTTTTGAGAATAATTTGCCCTTAAGCAATATTTATTAACATGAAATGTCTCACACATGCAGTTTTGTGGATGAGAACGGAACAGCAAACTTAGGGCTGATTGGGTGGTGTGGTGCAGTCTTCAGTGATTCTGGTGGTTGTGAGTGGAAAGAGGTCAAGGGTCTTGAGAGGTCGAGAAGTGCAACATGAAGATGCTTGGTTGTTAACATCCACTAGTGTACTTGGATCATAGTTGTAGCATGTCACCTCTTCCTTCTCCACAACATTACTCTGTGGGTTGTGCACATTCCATGTGCAATTCAATGCCTGTTCAGATGTGTTTGCAGCTCCTCCCTGAACATATGAAATGAAGAAAATAGATAACAATATGTTTAATCAATTTTTCCCTGACATGAGTTATTGTTCAAACTTAAATCATGACCTTCCGGAAATGAATCCAATACTTCATCCCCTAACAAACCCCATCCATCCTAATGCATTCCCCCAGTGTCATTATGTGCATTTACTTATAGCTGATTTTAATAACATCTGTACAGACATATAGGCTCCTTAGGTAAACATCAGAACTTCAATGAATTTGTTTATGTAGCTTTTGGTCAGAAATATCTCCAGTTCATAAAAAAAAAACCATTACATCAGTTTTAGTCAACAGTTTGTAGGAGGATGCTAAGTGAGAAACTCCCATGCATGATGATGCATCCAAGAGTTATTATAAACAATACACAAAAATAGTAAAGAAATTAACATTAATACACGAGTCAGGATTTGTACATGCATGGTGTGAGAAAGGGAAGATTACCTGAAAAAGCAAGGTAGGTGAGTTAAAAAAGGGAAAATCCTGGGTTGAAGGACGAGGAGTATAACCAAAGGTGCCAACATAGTGATTAGTGATATCTGGATTGATTTGGCAATGATGGACTTGGAGCTGTTGCTGTAGCTGCAGTTGCTTGCTGAGTTTCCTTCTGAGCTTCTGTCTATCCCTAGCCTTGTGGTTCTGAAACCAGTAGAACACATTCTTTCCCTCTATCCTTCCATAGAGAGAGAGGTGTGTGGTTATTTGCTGAATTTGAGAGGCACTAGGAGTTCTAATGCCACTCCTGTACAGTTCCTCCAAGATCATCAGTTGTTCTGTGGTAGGGCTCCATCTTGAAGAACCTGCTGGGGACATCTTTTCTTTCTCTCTTTGATGAGTTTCTTGAGACAGGAGAGGGGATGTATAAATAGAGGGACAGAGAGAAAGATACAGTAAAGAAGAGAGGAAGAGACAAAAAGGAAAGAGGTTGAACAGGTATAAAAGGTTGTGGTGAATTAGATAGGTAAAAAGTACTATAGGCTCATGCTCATGTTCCTTTTAGAGGAGCATTCAAGTGAGGCTTCAGTCCATGTTGAGAGAGAGAGAGTCTGAAAAGAAATAAGTGAATGAAGGAACTACTGATTGTGGTGTGTGAGTCATCATGACCTTATTATTAACTTTTCTTAACAGAATGAACCAGATGCTCCCCAAGGGAGGCTAATTCAGTACCATACACTCCACAATAAACTTGGACAAATTGCCCTTTCTATCCCCTGATAATTAAGCACCCCTAATTCTGGTGACAAATCATACTTGTCTCACCTTTCACACTGTTTGTTCTGTAGCATGATATCACTGTGCAAAACAAATTTAACTGTCTTTGGAAAGAGAGAAAGAAAACACACACAGAGTTTGTATTTCCATAAATTCTATGGTTACGGGAAAATTTTAATTTATTGATCTATGTTTTATTAGAGTGTTATCCAACTTCAAAAAACAAAAAATAAAGCTTAGCAAAATAATAAATAATCTATGCAACTAATATCTAGAACAAATAATTTTTTTACATCAAGAAAAATAATCTTAAAGTATTTAAAAGAATTACATCAACCTTCTTTCTTTGATTCTGATTACATCAATTATTTATCCAAGATAGATTAATTTTATTTTTACTTTGTGTAAGTTAAATAATTCCATTACTGCAAGGATTATGGCTAGCAAAATATTATTTTCATTTTTATTGATTAAAATTGACTTAAGCACGCACAAATCTCAACTCCCACTTATAATTTTAAGTATCTTAATAATTTTCAATTTTTTCTTCGAAAAGATATATCCTTAGAATTTTTAACATTACTGAACTATTAAGCTTCGCTTTTTATATTAATTATTACAAAAGCCATGTTTCATTTTGGCTTGACTTGGCTAAAAGGTAAAATTGAAGAAGTGTCTTTTGTTTTCAATTAAGTTGTATTGTAAACTAATTATTATTTTGTTTTACCATGAAACTCGAATTAAAATGGAAGTAGAAAAAGATTTCTTTTTGGTATGAGTAGATATCTTTGACCATTCTTGTTCAAGTTAATTAGATTATCAGACCACAAAATTCTCTTCCAGTCTAAATTTAGACATAAACTTAAACTTTAATTAGTAACAAGTAAATCGAGTTCTTCTAGAAATAAAATACATCAAACTAAGCTTGCAAACTTTAATTAAAACAAACATATACACTCAACCAATTGCATGTCACACAACCATTTTAATAATTATATATAGAGAGAGAGACAGATCTACTTGAAAGTATTATGACCAAAAGTATTAATTTTCATATCTATTTATAATTTTAATTTCCAAATCTAATGATGATTAAACATGCCTCTATTAATAATTATATATATATATATATATATATATATATATATATATATATATATATATAATGACTGGTTTTCTTAAGAGTTTAAGGGAATTATGACCCCAAAATTTTTTATTTTTCATATCTATTTATAATTTTGATCTTCAACCTTAACCATTATTAACTATATCTACTTGTATTAATAATTATATATATATATATATATATATATATATATATATATAAAATATGAATCTTCTTAAAAGTACAAGCAAATTATCACTCAAAATTTTTTAATTTTCATATTTATTTATAATTCTGATCTTCAAATTTAATGACTATTAAATATATCTACTAATATTTATTATTTTAATTTCTCATTTTTTTACCCTTTTATATTCATTTATTCTTTATTAATAGTATATTATTTAACTCTAAAATCAATTATCTCATATTTTATATATATATATATATATATATATATATATAAAAAGGTTGAATCTTATATTATCATTATTTCTTGATAATTTAATTTTCATCTATGTATATAAAAATTGAATCACTAACAGTAATATCATCGTGTATTCGATTTAAAATTAAAATATATTTTTTAATGGTCTTATTATATCAAATTCTTTGTGAACACGTAAATACATGAAATTATTAGATTAAAATTTTTTTTGACTAAAATGATTAGACAAAAAAATCTTTTGATATTATCAAGTATGTTTTGAGTAAGTTCTCAATTATTTTTTATATCATAATATATTTAAGATGATTGAATCAATCATTTGTTGTTATTTGTTAGATTAAATTTGTTATCTTTACTATTTAGAATGTTGTATATGGTGTTGGTTGTTATTTGAGGAGATGTGTATATATATATATATATATATATATATATATATATATATATATATATATATATATATATATATATATATATATATATATATATATATATATATATATTTATGATAAGAAGACATTGTTAGAGACAGGGGTAGCAAAGGTGAGACTTGGCAAAATGGCAAGTGAGTGAGGTGGGTCTCCTATGGTGTGCATATGCATGCTTTGTCCTTAGTGCTGACATTTTGAAAACGCAAGCATGCAACAGTTATGACTCCATAAATGCATGTTTCAGAGTGTCCAATGCCTTGTCCCATTTTGGTCTCAGAATGTGACTTGTCATCTCTGTCAACATTCCTCTCCATCTCCACCGTCCATTTCCCATTCCCTCACGTCACCATTCTCTCTCTCTCTCCACCATCCTCTCACTCTCAAGTCAACCACAACACAACTCTCACACCATCCCATCTCATCATATCATCCTCTTCCACTTCTTCTTTCACCATCATCATAGAAAGATACACACACTCTTCAGCATGCCCTTCTTACGTATTTCGTTACTTGTGCTACAGAGTTCTTCTGTACTATTCTGTTCTGAAATGTCAATGCTTTTTAATTTATCACTATTCCACCTTCGCTCTTCTTCCACAGTCTTATATGCCTTTAAATCAACATCTTCAATCAATGTGGGCCATTAAATCTTTCATGAATTTTGAAAATGATTGATCGAGCAAAAGTCTGTGCTTGTCCGTTTCTCATTTTTTGAGTTTCCTCAGTTATCAGATTGGAAACCTTTTCTCAATCCATGGTTTTGCTCTTACATGCATGTTGTTGCTGTATTCTTTTCCTTTCTTCTTCAAACAACTTGCATGTTGTTGTAAACTAATCAAGTTTTTGTTCATTTTCATGTCAATCATTGTGTTTTAGCATATATATTTTTGGATCTTATATGAGATCAAACGTACATATAAATTATATAGAAACTAAGATCTGTGTAAGTAAAATACAAGGATATGAGGTACAGTACAGTTGGAGTGTCCAGTTTCTATGATTAAATACTTTGTTTTTGAAATATTAAGGTTCCAAGTGTATGTGCTAAATAAATTGAAGGGCGATAATTTATATATATATATATATATATATATATATATATATATATATATTAATTTCCATACTGAGAGTTTTTAAGATTTTTTTGAAAATTGTCGTACACATACAAAGACTTTATTTAAAAGAAAGTAAGGGAGTTTTGTATTGGAATCATAATGGCGACTCGTAAGGTAAATATTTATATTTAAGATATTTTTTTATTTGAAGTTATATTTTGTTGCGATTTTATTTTCAGAAGATATCTAAATAAATTAAAAAATAAAAATATATATAAATTATTTTCCTCTTAACTCTTAAATAATAATAAAAAGTCACAAAAAAGAAAAAATAATATAGAAGGTAAAATTAATAAAATCATAATTATAATGTATATATTTTAGATGAGTTTTATTTTTCCAATATAGTAACAAAGGGAAAGAAATAAAACATAATCGTAACTTCTCTTATTAAAAAGATTAATAATAGGTTAAGAAAACTCCCACAAATTATTTTTACTTTTTTTCTAAAATATAAGTGCAATTATAATATTTTTAAATATAAATTAAAACTAGAAACAATTATATATTTTATTATGAAGTTAATGTAAATTATATTCAAAGTTATCACTATTAGACATTTTAAAATAAATTTAAAAAATTGACTATTTAAAAATAATTTCTATAATTAAATTTTAATTATCAACTTCATAGATAAAATTATTTGGTAATGACAAATTTAATAAATTTAAAGGTTCAAAATGATATTTTTATTTAATAAATTTAAGTTTCATTTTACCTGTAAAATGGATAAATATAATAATTAATATGAAGTTGAAGTCGAATGTTCAAAATAACTTCAAATTTTCAAGTTTTAAAAATTTTATATTTTCTTGTTAATGTTTTATGTTTTTTTTTGTTATAAAACGTCAATGTAGTTGCTAATTTTACTAATTAAAACTAATAATTTAAATTTAAATTTTAATATAGTTATTCTAATTTTTTATTTCATTATTATTACTCCAGCAATTATTTTAATTAGTGTGATTTTATTAAATTTTTTGTTTTCTATTTAGATATTTCTGAGTTTAGTTAAAAAAAAGTCATAAATAATTTGAATTTTACTAATTTCATGTTACAACAGTGAAAGTTACTAATTTTATGTGATGACTACCATAATTTGAAATTTATTTAATTTTATGTCACAACTATTATAAAATTTTATATAATTAAAAGATAATTAAACTTTTCTTAATAATTAGTTCGATAATAAACTGTTTATAAATAATTATTATAAAAATTTTAATCATCTTAATTAAAAATATATAAACTAAAAAAGTGGTTTTTTAATATTTAATTTTTATTCAGTATTTTAATATGTGATTATGGGTAATATATTAACTGGGAATTTCTTAATTTGTATTCGTTTAATTTGTTAGTTTATTAATTTTTTTACTATTGTTATTATTGTGATTATCAACCACTATTGTCATTCTTTTATAAGTTTTTCATAAATTTGAAAGTTAAACAAATATATATAAGTAAGATTTTCTTACTTTTATTGAAATCATCATATAACTTTTATTATAAAACATTATATTAGTTTTATTAAATAATTTAATAAATTAGAGATTTTGGTGAGAATAATACATTGTCTTTTAATTCTTTTTTTAATTCATGAATACCCAAAAACATTTGTCACCAACAAAAATATATTATTAATTATTTACTTTAGTGTATATCAAACTTTATTTAATATAAACAAAGTTACTTATTTACTTTCACTATCTTTTTTATTTTCCAATCTAGAGAATGTGTAATCCTTATTTATACTATTTAAAGATTTTTTAATGTAAAATTAATTATTTTTCCTCTTTTCTTATTTTTGGTTCAATATGTTTTACATTTTTTACAACCACATCAAATATTTTATCTTCCTAATTTGGCCATCTCATCTTCCTAACCCATTTGGATAAACAACCTATGACATTTGTTACTGCTTTGTAAATTATATATATATATATATATATATATATATATATATATATATATATATATATATATATATATATATATATATTCTAATAGATTCTAGAATATGGTTTTTTTTATAAAACATTCCTCCATTAAAAATTAAAATGTAATTTATCGAAGTTTTACCTTGAATGAAAATTAAATAACTTATAAATAAAAGAAATCTTAGCCAAATTTAATATTAAGTTATTTTTTTTTATAAAAGTGATATTATATTTTTACATGACTAACTAGTATTTCAGATTTGGACCAGATAAAAGATTATAGGTTATAAAATTTTATGTCAAAAATGTTGTTAGACAATGATTTCAGATAAATGAAGGTTAAACAATACTACAATAACTAGAAATAAGATTAGTATTAACTATTCATAATTAAAAAATACTTTCACGAAAGAGGAAGTGGTATATAATATGAGAGGATATAACAAAAAATATTTTCATATTTTTATGATAAACTTTTTTTTTTTTTTACAATCTTACTTGCTTAAGTTGGATCAGACATAACTAATTAATTTCAAATCAATTTCTTGTACAATTTATGAAATATTAAACATATGTAAATCAATTTAACAATTTCTTAAATTAGGGTTTTCATTCCCAACCTTCAAACTCACACATAACTTATTTCTCAGTGGTTTGATCCAAATCTTATGTGCAAATGAATATTTCGGTTTGCTTCCTTGAAAATTCTTTGTACTCTAAGAAACTTAACAAAAAAATAATACTCCTCCAAAATGCTGAAAGACAATGTTGATTTCAGCTAAATCCTAGATTGCAGGTTTTAAGAGAGGAAGAGAAAAAGGAACTCCTAAAATTTCTAGATATAAAGAATAGAGAAAAAAAATCAAAGATTTGGATCTATAAAAAAAATGATAATTTTAGAGAAATAAAAAAAATTAAAAGATGGTAAAATATGTGTAACGGTTAACTTATTATTATTATTATTATTATTTATTTTACTACAAATGTAAATTTAAATATAATAAAGTAAGTACTATAATTATATAATTTTTAGAAAAGTGTAAATGTAATTAATATAATAGCAACTTCAAAGGAGAAAAAGTGCTGCTATTCCTTTAAATTATGCAGATAAACTAAAAAAATAAAACTTTGTTCAAGAATGAAGAGATTGGGGGACCCAAAACCCAGAATTGTAAACACTGAACAGACAGCAGGGTATTTGGGGCAGCAATTTTCTTTCAAGAAACCAATTTATTTGAGCTCATCCTTTTTATCAAAACATTTCACCCCTTAAAATTTTGCTCAAAGGGGTCTTTTCTCTTTCTGTCGCCACTTTCCTTCGCCGTAGGTCTCAGCGTGCGCTTCCGCATCACCTGTTTCTCCCTGCAAATATACACGTTGGTTTGGTACCCATTTGGTATGTATGCCTTGTTGGAGCTTGATTTGCTTTTCTCCCCATCTTTTATGACCGCCTCATCACTCACATTTATATTTTGCAACAACCCTTTTGTGGATTTTGTCTTATGTGTAGTAACCAATATTGTATTTACAAATGGGTTTAATAGGGTATGAGTGTTTTAGAGAGGGAAAATGGGTACTCTGGTAAATTATAAAACTTGCGTTTTTATTTATTTATTTCAGAGAATGCACAATAATATAGCTTTTAATGGGAGGGTGTAAACCATTTCTTAGGTTAATTGACTTGGAACTGTGTAACTTATGCAGTGACAAGTGACCATCTATGCTGTTTTTTTAATGAAAAATTGTTATTGAGATTATTAAAGCATATCATCATATTATGAACTGGTTAAACATGGTTTTTCAGGAAAAGTTAAACATGGTTATCAATAAAAAGTATAAGATGCCATAAAGGTTGTAGTTTGAAAAATTATTGACAATTAAAATAAAACTTGTCTTTAGAGGATATGGAAGGAATTCGTGACTATCTGATATAATACATTGTTTCTGCATAAGGTTATTGGACTTCCATTTTTTTTATGTATATGTTTTGATTTCCTACAATGTTGTGATTAGCCATGCAATGGACCAAGTCCAAGACTTAGAGACCAGCGATTGTGAAGTTTCTGCTGATTATGTTGACGTACAAATCAATTAGTTTATGTGGACTTTTCATGGTTCCTAGTTCTCTAATCAGCTGCTTTATTGTCCACATGTAATGTAACACAACGCACTTGGACGCTACAGCTTCTACTCTCATACGGTTTTCTCCCCTGTAACATTTTTTTTTAAGTGTGATCAACAACATAAATGATTTTTTTACTCGTCATTGCAACATTGTGCCTGCAATTGCAGTCAAATCCGCTGCAATATCAAGGATTGCATCAAATGCAAATTATACTTATTGTCACTGTGACTTAGTTAGAAACACATTACAACTTCCATAGAAGGTTTGTCATTGAATAGAATAGTTTCATGCTAACTAGAAATCGGCAGTTTTGGGATTGGCCTGATTTTGAATTCCTATTTGTTAGCAGGAAGCTTAGATATTTCTTATACCTTTGAATTATACATATTTTTAACTTTGTCAAGATAAAAGCACCCTATTATGCTTTTATTATCATGTGATACTTGGATACATAAATATCTTTGTAGTATTCCCTGTAATGCAATTTCATATTCACGAGAAAGATTTCTACGTCAATGATACAATTCATACATCATCTTCAGTGTGGTTGTTCAGGGAAACACTAGTGTGATAATTCAGCTTGAGCATGCAGAGTCATAGCTGTTGCACATGACATTGATATACACTTTTTGACATCTTGAATAACTGTTGCCATTGAGGTCCTGTTATTACTGAAGATAGAGGGGAAATGGGAAAAGTAGTTCTTGCAGCAATAATGAGCTTATGTGTTCTTCCTGCAACCATAATGGTTAATCGCATAGTTCCTGGGCCATATATGGTAAGAAAAAGTTTTTTAAACTGGAGAACAGACAGTTGTTGATACTTAGATTGATACTGAAGAAATTTACCCTTCATTCAATATTGATTGAGATCCATGTTGCAGGATGAGATATTTCATATACCACAGGCAAAGCAGTACTGCAAGGGAAATTTTAGAAGTTGGGACCCTATGATTACCACTCCTCCTGGCCTGTATGTTCTCTTTTATCTTTGATACCTTTGCCTCTGGCCCCATCTTCAGGAAAAATTTGATCCCACTAGCTTATATCCAACTACTTATGTATTATGCCAAAGGGGGTTAGTTCAGCTAGTAAAGTACAAATGGTTGAAGCACTTTGCCTGAAAGGTTTAGGCTCAGGTCTCACTGCCAACAATCTCCCTTGGCTTATCCTTATTGAAGGATGTGGCATGCCTTGTCCTTGGAATGGGGCAGCCTTGGCTCCACCAAACTTTTATTAACAAAAATAAATAAAATTACGTTATATGAAATGAAAGTGAAAAAAGCATATTGTAGGATGAATAACAGAAAGTAAGTAATCATTCATAAATAATTAACTAGCAACCAATATCTGGGGTATGCGAAACTTTCAATGCAATATTTGTATTATATTAATTTCTTTCTTGTGATGCACCAGATGTATTTCATGTGCATTTGACACAGAAGCAGTTATTGGAATATGTAATCAATTTTGGATATTTTCCGGACAAGATGAGATGTTTTTATTATTCTCTAAGCATAGCTATAAACTTTTTGGTCTGCTTCTGTGCTTAAGCTGGAGTGGCAGTTGGTGACAATTGACTAAAATATAGAGAAAGTTTATTCTGGGTATTGTTCTTAATGATTATGATTAAGCACGGTTGAAGCATCATCATCTATGTTTTCAAGTGAATAAATATAGCAACTTTCAACTGGTTGCTTGCATTGCTTAATCTAACTGTAGTATGATTAACAAATGAGAATCATACACTTGGAGCTAACATAACGCTACCCAATGATTTTGCTGTGTAAATGAATGAGTGAAACCTAAAAGCTTACAGGATTTAACTCAGTTACTTTGAATAATTAAAAACTTTATAAGTACACTTTAGTCTTGGTGACTATCTGATACAGATAGAAGATCATATTTGAAGTGTTGCTCAACTCTCTAGATTGAGAAACAAACAATTCTATATAGATAAATTATCAATAGTATAATGTCGTATCAAATGTCAAGTTTGATCTTTGCAATTGAATAACTTTTGCAGGTACTATCTTTCACTTGCCCATGTTGCTTCTCTGTTTCCAGGCTTTTACTTTGTACAAGCTGCTTCATCATTTTCTGACATGTGCTCTGAGCCAATCCTTCGATCAATTAATGGTGTCTTAGCAATTGTCTGCAGTGTAATTATATATGACATCATTACTCACTTGAAGCCAACACTTTCCGAGAGGAAGGCGATGCTTCATGCAGTGGTCCTATCCTTGTACCCCCTCCACTGGTTTTTCACCTTTCTCTATTATACTGATGTTGCATCCGTTACAACAGTGCTGGCTATGTATCTTGCATGTTTGAAGAAAAATTACTGGTTTAGTGCATTGGTAAGGTATATTTGATTTTAATGTTGTAAGTACATGTTTTAATTGATATATGTTTTTTGTTTGTGTTCATATTATTGTTATCCAAGTTCCTTTATTTTATTAACTTGTTGCACATCTAAAACAGTTGAACCTATGTGTTTTAACATATAATTACAGATACAGATGACCAATTTTTGTCGGTATTGAACATATTTACTGCAAAGACTCAATTTGTTCCGCATTTTGATCCGGTGTACTTTTAACTGGAATATATGCATACACCATAGACACTTGTATGTATGCTTATTGCATGGCTATATTCAAATATTACTTTGTCAATTCTTATGGTCTGACTTCAGTACACGAAACTTTTATAGAACTAATTTCTGTCATTATTTTCATAGCTCTTCCTAATTCAACTGGATCGTTGTTCTCCCTTATCTCTTGTATGTTTGCTTTTTGATCATAGCTTCTTAGGGCCTCCACTGAATCCTATTTTTGATAACTAATTTCTATTTCTTTCATATATATATATATATATGATAAGGAGTAGTTTTTGAAAACTGTACAAAAATAGTATCTACGTTTTAGCTTCTGATTTAAAAAAAATCAGAACATCTAATTGTTTTGGTTTTCTACTTTCATTTTTCTATTATTTATATTCCTTATACTGTCCCAATTTTTCCCTCACTCGTATTCTCTAAAAATTAATTTTTGAAAATTTTTTATTAACTAAAAAGAAAAATCAAACACATATTTCTTCTCTTGGTTTTCAATTGTGGCTGTACAACACAACTTTTGATGAATAGGTCTACGGATAATTCAAATATATAGGTTCTTATAGTTGAATTCCTAGATTATATTCTCATTCTACTTTATAGAGTGGTAGTAATGCATTCCAATTTATTGATGTAGATTGGAGCGTTTTCAGTTGTTATTCGACAAACAAATATTATATGGGTGCTTTTTGTTGCATGCACTGGGATCATAAATATTTCTGTGACTAATGGAAAGCAGAATACAAAAACTGATGAGTCAGATGTGTTTGTCAAGCATGGTTTAGCATATGCTACTAGTACAACTACAAAGGGTCTTCATCTGAGAAAGCGAAAAATTGTTAAATCTGGGAATACTATTGAACACTTATCATCCAGTGCACGTGATTCTTCTCCTTCCTCTTATTCAGGTTTGCTTTCGCATGTTTAAGAAAACCATGAGTTCTATTTTATGCTCCAAAGAAAATAAAATAACTTTTATAACTGTAGATAGAAAAAAGTTAATCCCATCCACCGGGTACCATTATGTGCAATCTATAGAATACATTTATATTGATATCATTTTGCAGGTTTAACTGATGAATTATGGTCCATCCTTTTAACATTATGGTACATGAAATGGGAGGTTCTAATTTCATTTAGCCCCTTTCTCATGTTGGTGGTGATCTTTCTTTTATTTGTCTATTGGAATGGAAGTATTGTTCTGGGTAACATTCATTCTCTTGTTTTCCCTTGCGATGTTATTTTGGGTCCCTTAGGGCCCCCAAAGACCCTCTTTCTCACACATATCCTACTGACGCTGCAGGTGCGAAAGAAGCACACGCAGTTACCCCACATTTTGCTCAGATGCTTTATTTTAGTTTGGTTTCTGTAGTGGCTCAGGCTCCTATGCATTTCACTATCACCCAGGCTGTGGACTTGTTTAGTATGTTTCGTAAGAGTAGGGCCCTTCTTTTCTTTCAGATGTTCCTGGCCCTCGTGGTTGGCATGCTCTCAGTACACTTTTTCAGGTTATGTCAGACTCATATGACTAAGTAAACTATCAAGCAGAATCTGTTTTTTGATTGTCAACAATTGAATGCTGGTTTTGGTGGTGGTGAATTTATAGACTGCTTTTGCAGTTTTGCTCCAATACTGTAAATTTTAAAGCTCATCTTTCTAACTTCGTTTTACTTCTAGAGAATGCTTATTAGAAGTTGAATGCTTTTATAGGAAAATGTACCATTAATTATTACCAATGCACCCCTACCATGATTTCTACTAAAAACCTTCTGCTTATTAATTCCTTAACCAGTGTCCTTATTGTGCACATTCTTAATACCCTTTATTTCTTGTTTCTTAATAAAGTTCGTCCAGCATTTCTGTGAGATAACTTTTCCACTTGGGTTGCATGAATGTCAACACTTTCTTATGAAGCCGAACTCATTCTAAATCTCTACAACAAGAATTTAACACAGCTTTTACTATAACCCTATTAGGTGAACTTTTCAATAAAACAGTTATTGGAAAATAAATAATTTAAAATGAATTAATCTTCTCTCGTTAGTGAAAATTAGCCTGTGAAATAATGAAAATTAGTTTCTGGAGTAGTTAAATGAAAAAACTTTTATATAATAACTTATGCATAACTTAATTTTAAATTATAATAGAAGTTTAATTTATTTTTTCTTTTTATTTGCTTCTACAAGTGCTCATGGGAAATTTATCCGTGCAGAACCTATTCTAAAATCTAATGCATTCTCTCTGACATTCAATCTCAACTGTTTGGTGCACTTGTGTCTCAATTTTTGCAGTGTAGCTCATCCATACATTCTTGCTGATAATCGGCATTATCCTTTTTATCTTTGGAGGAAAGTTATAATGGCTCACTGGTCAATTAAATACCTTCTGGTCCCAGTTTATATATGTTCATGGCTTTCCATCATTCACATGTTGGGTTAGTGTACTTAGACGTACTATGAAGTCTTGTTTTATTCAACTGCATGTGGGATTATAACTATGATCCTTTTATCAAACAGGAAAATTTAGAAGTAAAATATGGGTTTTGGCATACTTCTTGGCTACTGCAGCTGTTCTTGTACCAGCTCCACTAATAGAGTTCAGATACTACACCATACCATTCTATTTCCTGGTGCTTCATTGTAACAATAGGGATGACCAAAGCTGGATTCTCACAGGCGCACTGTATATTGGTGTCAATATCTTTACAATGGCGATGTTTCTGTTTCGGCCATTCCATTGGGATCATGAGCCCGGAATTCAAAGGTTTATATGGTGATTCAATTCATTGAAAAAACAAGATTTGTAACACAGCAAAACTACCCTTTTTATTAGGCTTTTAACACCAGTTTTTCAAGGGTGGAATTTAAGATGTTCTTAGGGCTTTTTTTAGAGGGATTTAAATCTGCTTAGTTAATTTGATAATCCTTTTAATATGAACATGGTCTTTGATTTAGTAACAAATACATTTTTAAAATTACATTTTAGTGATGAAATGGTTTCATGAACTTAGCATCATAACAAAATTATGTGATATTTTATTCTTCTAAGTACTAAATCAAATATTTTTGGTAGGAGGGAAATTAATTTCCCGAACTTATGTTTTCCATGGTTGATCTTTTAAAAAATAACATTTCTAGCAGGGTTTCCTGAAAATGGTTCAGTCAAGTTCCGCACAAAAATACTCATAGAGGAGGACAAAGTCTAACTTTCCCAGTTTAAAATATTTTCTATTGAAGAAAAAACATGAAATTTAATTTATTAACAAATTTAAGATTTTAGTGAACATAATATATTCTTTGAATTCAAAAAGTTTTACATGAATATTGTTAACTATTTTTGACGGAAAAAGTTCTCCAATACTAAATATCTCCTAGTAGTCGTTCTTTCCTTTTAATTGATGATGAATAAAGAAAGAAAAGATTTTTAGTGCAATGCTAGGACTCTGCTCATATTTTATGTTAAACAATTTATATATTCTAGCTTTTAATATAATTTTTTATATTGAATAAATTATATCTTTAATTTTATACTTTTTTTATCCTTTTATACTACGTACATATTTAAAACCAAATTTTCATGAAGCACTTCCTACTATGTTAAATTGGAGATGTCCATTACAGTTGATGCCAAAATATTAAAAAACGTGAGCCACGCGGATCCACGATACAAAAATCAAACTTAAAAATTATATGGAATATGGATGGAATAAGCGAGTGAATAGAGCATATTACAACAGTGAATAACAACCATGTTAACTTTTATCTTATTTGGAAATTTCAAATCTTTGATATGAAATGCATTAGGAAATTTCAAAGCTTGTCCTTGGACAATGAAAAATATATGGCATAAGGTTGAAGTCAATCTTCACGCCATTGTTTTTGACATTTTTCATTCAAGCAACGATAAAATAGAGTTGCTGGCTCATCAGCAGATCTAGTCTGAAATTCTTTGTAAGCAGCTTCACCATGACCGCAATATGGGCATGTCGCTACAACAAAAGGGAATGAGTGAGAAAAGAAAAAAAAAAAAAAAATTTGAGAAAGAAAAAACAGAGAAACAAACTTCACATAATTAGTCATGACTCCCTTTTCATTATCAGTCATGATTCCTCGTATCTTTATATGACATTGGTAAGAATAATCTCCTTTTTCGGAAGAATGGGAGATTAATCATAATTGCACTAATTTATAATTTCCCCAATCAACCAATTGTATATTTTTCCAACAAGATCAAACAAAACCTATTAATCAAAATCCAAAAAAATTATAAAATTCTTAAACTTTGGACCAACTAAAAACCCTAAAAATAGAAGAGAAATCAAAATGGAAGTCTGATGAACAGCAAAACAAGCTTTGACATAAAGAAAGTAAACTTAAAAGAAAACATCTTGTATAGTAGTTGACAAACCAAACTGCAATATGCAAATTGATACAACCAAACATAATAAGTGTTGCAGGTATCATTCAACAATCCCCGTGAATTACGTTAGATTAAGATTTAGTTCAATCCATGTTCAAGTTTCATACTGAACTATAACAATTTCATACTTCCTACAGCTAAGTTTTAATTATAAAGTATGATGCTAAATTCTTGCATTGAGACATAATGTCAGGCCAAATCACACTTTATGATTTCTCACCCTTTTTCACTTTGTACGACATTCACCACTAGAAAGGGTCCATACCAAGAGACCCCTAATGCACAAGTCTCTAACCAAGTGGGATTCGGAGTGGAGAGGGTAAATGTGCGTATCCCTGGAAACGAAGAGATTGATTCCAGGATTTCAGCCCATGACTTGTCTGACGAAAGGCAGAATCCTTAACCATTGGACCGTGACTCTCCCTTCATACAAGTATACGAGGAATGCCAGAAACACTCTTTCAACACTCTTTCTAATATTCGCTAAAATTTATTAGCAATCATAAGTTCCGTGGTTCCACTTCTAAATTAGAAGTGAGACTTTTTTTATCATAGGATCATGAAGACCAAGAAATAGGGTTTTATTGATGATGTACAACTTATTATATTTGGTGTTTCTGCTTTCATGTAAGCGAGTGACCAAATTGTGCATTCGTGGGTATGATGTATATAAGCTAATAATTTTAATCTTGTTTCAGAAGCACTTAACCATTTATGAAATGTTTCCAAATATAAACAATTATCTTGAAATAAGCCAATACTAAAAATTGACATGATCTCGCAGATAGTCGGATATCTTGATTCATAATAATTATCATAAGTGAGATACCTGGCCATGTGTTAGTTATGCAGATAATAGGTTATCATAAGAACAATTGATTATATTGTTCCTAGTGAGTTTCCGTATTCACTAATGAACAAAATAATCAATTATCACTTGCAATTATTGATTAGCTCTGCTTTGAAAACTTCTTAAAAGAGGTTCAACACAGATTTTCGATATACTTATGTCTAAAACTTTCAAATACCTTTCTGAGTTGCTCCAGTAATATTTTTTCTAGTTTTCTCCAAGATTCAAGAGTTTTCATTTATTTCCTTTGAGACAAGCTTGGAGATTGAAGATCATATTGATAGAGTTTGATTAAAATTTATTTTGTATTCATTCTTTGTGGAAATCAGTCACTATCAGGTGCTATCTCTCCATACTTTCCGTAGAAATTGCTCTGTAAATACCAACGTTTAGTGTAGTAGGTTTCCACACTTGCATGGTTTTTCTTTCTTGATAGGCTTTCAAGAAAGGGTGCATTCTTAAGTGTTACCTAGTGCATGTGTAGTGTGTATAACCTAAATTTCAAGAATTTAGTGAAACAATCTATATAAGGTTGCATGGATTGAACTAGATGTAGATTCGCGTAGAATTGAAAAATCATAAAATTCTTTGCCATGATCTTTATTTTTCCATTTTGTGTTTTTTATATTTCTTGGTACTATTGATCTTTAAAAATCTTCTTTCTAAAAACTAGTTATTTACTAGATTAAAGAAATAATTTTTTAACCAATTTACCCCCCTCTCAGTTGTGTACAGCCTATTATTCTCTACAAGACTTATTAAATGAGAAGAGTGACTAACAAAAAACTTATAATTTACAAAAAATTACAGCTTTAGAGAGGGTTAGAAAGAGTGTTGCTAGCATTTCTGACATAGTATTCCCAAAATACTTAGTCAAAGCTAAATTATATTGGATTTACTAACAGATCACTTCATCTTCAATGATCAATGGCTAGTTCACACAGTGGGGTTCCAAAGTAGCAAATTTACTAAATCTAGAGTTAGACAAGGGTACTAGAGCCTTCTACCCCATTTTTCTAACCATTTTATTTGCTTTTATCAAGTAACGTGAAAATTAACAGCTTGGTTAATTCCTATTACCAGTCATTATCAAAAACACCGAACAGAGGGGTGAAGAAGCTATTGCAATAGAGTAAAGATTCAAAAGATATGCAACAGAATCAGGAGTCATTGAACATGAGATGTGTGAGCAAGACCGACGAGCAACAAGAGAAGTGACAATCAAGACCCAGTAACAAGAACCATAAGAACCAGGATATGGGAGACAAGGGTCCAACATGAGAACCAGAGCAGCATAGTTTAGCAACGAAAAGATGTGCTAAAACTTAGCTCTATCTCTGTCCCTTCTGCAATAATGTGTGAAAGACTAGAACTTGTAAGAAATGTTATGGGTTCATATTGAAGAACTTATCTTCGTGTTCAAAGTCATGCCTTCATTTGCATGCCTCCCGATATCATAAAAGTGCAGGATATTGATAATTTATTAAAATTTGAATATGTGTGCTCCAAAGATAGAAACATTCAAAAGATGATTAGTTATTCATCTTAGTGCTTAAAATATCATGAATTCTGAATACATTATGCGACATCCTAAGCAATAACACTCTTAAAGATAATATCTATCTTAATAAGAAAGAAAGGAAATGTACCATCAGTTTTTGGTGCATTCTTCATGTCATCTTGGGAGATTATAGGCTCTATGTCTTTTTTCACCAACCTTTGCTTCCTTTTGATCTTAACCTGTGAGGTGAAACTTTAAAAACCATGCACTAGCAGCTAAAAACAAATTAAAGTATGAAATGGTCAAAGTTAATTCTTACCCTATTCTGGATGTGGCAAACATATGGGCAAGCAGAACAAAAAAATCTTGCAGGGCGATCCAAATAGGGCAATTCATACTGTAGCATGTTACCACATGTGGGGCAAAACTCCATCTTCTATAACTGCAAAATCAGGATAATTGCCATTAACATGAAGAAATATCTCCTATGTTTCTCTCATTAGGGTTTCAATTTAAGCTAAATTCCAGGAACTTGAGAATGTTATCTGGTATGTGTCTTGTTTTTCATGGAAAGAACAAACTAAATTAATAAACATTTTTCCTAGAGTAATGTTATATCCTATTAATCAGTATTCATACTTTCTAAAGAAAGTACAAACTAAATGCTAAATGCATTTAATACCTTATAACATAAGAAAAAAGTATTTAATACTTTATTCTTTACTAAGTAGAAGGATTAGTGAAAAAAATGTTGATGGATTTAGAATTACTCTTTTTCTATTCCAAGGACGGATGCATAGACTAATAGATAAAAAATTAAAAAACCACAGATTAGTTTGGTATTTTTTTTAAAAATCGCTCACCTATCTTTACTAAATCATAATATATGCTTTGGTGTGATTGAACAATTTTGGTGTAAACAATTCATAACAGCTTATGCTCAGTCAAACATTCAAATAAACCACACAAAACCATCAACAAGTACTTAACCTAATCTACAGCCATCACTTGATATGTATCAAACATTAAGACCCCCCCCCCCCCTAACACACACACAAATCAATTCAACACATGCTAGCCATATCACATTCTAAGTGGGTGTCTGTTTCAGCGTATGCCATAGAAAATGACGTGATTATTAGTATAAACGAGCGTGTTGGATGAGTTTTCAAATACACTAATTTCATTCATTGTCTTATCACACCAGTGATATACTGTTTCAGTATTTTCATCAAACACCTAGAAGAAAAACACAATCCAGAGTCAGCACTATTCATATATCCACGCGCATTACTAAAAAATTTCAGCAAAAAACAGAAAACACGAGGTGAGGAGCAGTAAAAGGATCATATAGGCACATTTCAAACATGAAATCGACACGAATAAATACTATAAACTACATCTAGTAATTAAAACAAGACTATGAGGAAAGGGATATAGGAAAAAATTGTGCATTGTTAAGGCTATACTTGATGGTATGTGCAAAGCTGTTTTTCCTTCTTGATCGTTGCTTCGAATCAATACTCTCTCGCTCAATTTGCGATGCAAACGAATAGATAAGAGAGAAGATAATGATCGAATGAGAAACGTAATTGAATTTTGGAATAAGATGAGTGAATGAGGGTTTTTGTTTAGAGGCCGCTGAGAGGTTTTGAACGGGGAACTGTTGCGCGAGCAAGGCTCAGTCGTTTTGAGCAAGAGGAATGGATGGCGGCATTTTTTAACACCCAACTGCAGTTCCAGATTAGCATGAAGTAGGGTAATTTTTTTAGTTGGTTCTTAAGTCTCCAAATTAAAAATAATAATTGGGCCCCTAAATTAAAGTGAAAGGTACAAAGCGGAAACCAAGGATTGTCAAATGTATAACGAATTAAAATTTGGTTATAGAATGTATAATAATGTGAAACTTCACTGGTAAAATGAAAAAAAAAAAATACATATTTTTATGTATTGTTTTTTAATTTTAACATAGATTGCTCAAAAAAATTCAAAAATTTTTCAAACAGAAAAACACATACATTCAAAAAAATACACTAATTTTTTTTATACATTATACATTTACCATATTGCATAACCATTTCAATTGAAAAAAAAAAATAAAGGGACTACAACTACTTTTGATTGAAAGTAAAATAACCAAATCACACATTAAAAAAAAAAAAAAAAGTCACAGTAGAGCCATCTACTTTTATAGGTAATAGAGATCTACCATATTCCACAACCCCCTCAAATTAAAGTAGTACAATTTAGCAAACAAATAATCGGCATTGTGAAGAGTTTTAGTAACATGTGGGAGTTCATCAGTGCCCACCATTTTACTGATAAAAGAAAAAGTGGCACCATCATAGTATACAAAAACAAAATATCTCATACATAGCATTAAAGCACATTGAGCACGTGTCAATAAAATCCATCCACATCTACGATGCTTTGACTCTTGCAGCGTCTGTTCTCAATCTCCCTCACAACACAGCAACATGCCTTCTTCGTTTTCTTCTTCTTCGTCCGTTCTAACCATTCCCAATCTCCGTCTTCGCGCGCTCAGAATTTGGTCCTCCAAGGACTACGCAATCGCCGCATTCGTCTTCCTCCTCCTCTTCTCCCTCATTCTCTTCTCCCACTTGGATTCTCGTTCCCGTTCCCGTTACCCCTCCCACCCCAGCTCCACCCTCGTTCCCTTGACGCTTCTCCGTAACGCCAACCGAACGCGCGCGTGTACGTCCCTAACGTCCCCCATGCGCCTCCCTCCTTTTTTGCTTTAACTGAATCCTGATTTTCCATCTGTGTGTGCAGTTTGCTTGGACGGGAGCGCCCCCGGTTACCACTTCCGGAGCGGGTTCGGATCGGGATCTCGCAATTGGTTGCTCCACATTGAGGTTTCTCATTTTGCTTTTGTCAAATTTGGTTTGTTTTCTGGAATAGGGAAAACTCTGGCAATACACTGTACGAGAAATTTGTATGTATGTTTTGTTTGCGCAAACTTATCTTATCCATAAGAGAATAATAATAAGAAAAAAAAAAAAGGAAGTAAGTTTCTCTACAAAATAAAACTAGTTTTTGCAGTAGTTAAAAAATAAGAACTTAAATAAGTTATATGGAGAGCTTTGTAAATTAATTTGTACATTATTAGAAGGTGGATTTGGACCTTATCCAACCTTAAACGAGGTTTGCGCTCTACTTGTATACTATAATTTCACAATATCTTTGAACACTGGATTTCCTAGACACTTCCTCAAGAACGAGAAACTAAATATTTGTGGTAGTTTGATAGAGGCCTTATAACAATGTTAGGATAGACTTTGATATCTCATTAGAAAGTAAATATGAGCTTAACTCAACTCTATAAAACCAGTTTAAGAGGTGAACTTTATATTCCAATTACATACTCTAATTTAATCATATATAGTCCATATGAGATATCTAACCTTCATAAACTAATCTTAGCTTATGAAGAAACTCAATTTATTTTTCCTTTTAAAAGTACGTCCCATATTTATATTTCCCTACTACCATGGCCTTGGACACTCTAGCACAAAAAATTGTAATATAGTTTGGGACTACTGTAGTCACTGGACAATCTCTACATGGCACACATTTGAATTTTATTAACTCCATTGATAATTGAAAAAATTGATAATGTGCCACAGAAATCAGGGAGGACTTGGACTAGTGATGGTTTTGAACTATGTAATCATTTATCTTCAATATGCACTCTTTAGTATTTGTTAAATCTATTAAAAATATCTAAATAATGTGGGTTTCATTTCTTGTTTAATAAGTCTTATTCATGATTTTATAATTTCGAATTAGAAAGGATGTGTAAGAAAATGTGTTATTAGCACTTCTCTCCAAAATATTATAACCTGGTTTCAACTGTGTGCGCAGGGAGGAGGGTGGTGCAATTCAATAGCTTCATGTACTCAGCGAAAATTCACTCATTTGGGGTCTTCCAATTATATGGAAAAACTTGTTCCTTTTTCAGGAATATTGAGCTCTGACCCCTCTCAAAACCCTGGTTAGAAATTTGTAACTTTAACATGCTTATATCATTGTTTTAACTTTTAAATTCTGCATGGCTGCATCTGTCTAGAATGTCCAGCAGTATCAAGTTTTTGAGGTCATGGAAACAGATGCAACTTTCTATTTAAACCCTTGGTTATGTACTGTCAAAGTAACACTTAACTGCTTCTATCACACCCTATCTTGATAGTTGATACTTGTTAGCAATATCTTGCTATCTTTCTCTCTTTCTTTACCCTAATTCTGTAGGAAATTACAATTTTTTTCCTGAAGATTTTAACTAAAATGCACCAATGTAAGACATACTCCTATTATCAGCTAATCATGTGATGCACATTCTCATAATTGAATGATATGGTGACAAAGTTTTACAGAGACATAGTAAGAAATCATTGTTCTAGTTTGGGAATTTTGGTATTCTGGGTTCTGTTGATTATATCATTAGACAAATTGTGGAATAGATTACTACTATTCTAATATTGATGATTAATTGTATTGGTGACATTTTCCCTCAAATCTGACTAAGTACATATCCAGCTCACCCTTGGATATGTATATGTGGCCGTTGAGTAGTTTTTACTTCTGGGAAGTGTAGAATGTGTGTTTGTATGAAGGTAAGATAGATAGATAGATAGATAGATAGATAGATAGATAGACGACCTAATATATTGAATAAATGATGTTACTTTGTATGATGTGTCAAACTTATTCAGATTTCTTTAACTGGAATAAGGTGAAGATACGCTATTGTGATGGTGCATCTTTTGCTGGTCACCCGGAGAGTGAGGTTAGGATTGAATATACATGATTTGATACTGGTTGTTGGTGACCTTTATACATTTGGGTTTATGTTGATTTATTTCTTAAACATATTTTATACAGCAAAGAGGAAGTGGGTTGTTTTTCAGAGGCCAGGTCATATGGGAAGCTATTATGGATGAACTCTTATCAATTGGCCTATCCAAAACAAAGCAGGTTATACTTTCATCACAATGACAATCCAACATATATTTTAAATTTTCTGAGCTTGTTTCAAACAAATACTATTAGTAATAATAAGGCTTATCAAAATGGATTTAGTAATGCCTGGATGTCAGTCTTATACTCAACTTTATCACTTGCACTGTAAACATGAAATGAATGGACCAATTTGGTGTATATCCTGTTTGTTCTGCACTTATTATCCTCATGTGATCTATTTGAAACAGTGAATGCCATATTATGCAATTATTCTTTTAGAACAGGATCAGAAATACATTAAGGAAAATAGAAAAAGAAAATGAAGATTTTATTGATTGAATTCTGTTCTCTTGATCTTGGTCAGAGAGATCAGAAGTTTGAGCTAGAAGACTGTCAATGTATAAAAAGAATTTTCAACCCCGGAAATTTGAGGGTCCTTGCTCTCCTCACTGCTCTGGATAATCCTCCAAAAAGATTTCTTGTCTCCTACCTTTCTCTCATTTTTAAAGTATTCTCAACTAATTGACAGTAATTGAAAGCACAACTAACCATTTCTTCATCCAATTGCCATCACTATAATGATTACTGCCAGAAAAACAGCAGCATTAACTGACTACCTTAATTCACTGCACTCTAATAGAACTGGATCCGATACCCAGACTTCTGAGAGGACTGGTCTCTCCACCAGCAATTTTCCCTAATAATTCTGCTGTTCCGATTCCCTGCCTTTTAGACAACTTCACCACAGTTAGTTTACTAATGACCGTAGCCATTACTTAGCTGGCTACCTGACTGGAACATTCTGTCACTGACTCACTGCTCACTTGGAAAATTGCTTCTGAGGGATGTGTATTTGGCCTAGCCTATTTCTTTGATTGGAGGTTGACTTTTACACTCATTTGTATTTTTTCTAGTATACAGCCTTTTAATTGGGGGTCTGCTATCATAATCTTTCTGTTGGTTTATATTTGAAGAACTTCTCTTTACTTTAATTATTGCTTGAGTTGGTTAACATAAGAAAGTGGTTGTCCTTTATTGTAAATGAATGGCAGTAATAAGCAAAAATATTTTCCATTTTTCTCTTAAATGAACTTGAGTAATAAGCATAGATAGTAACATGATAGATTAAAGCTTAGCTTTCAATTTGAACAACTGCAGTTTCAAGTGTAAAAGGAATTATTGTGTTAGTTCTTTTTGTCTTTTGACATGAATTTAATTCTAAATGGACAGATATATCTCACTCCAGACTTCAGATTATATGCTTTTGATATATTGCACTGTTTATGAACTATGAAGCATTAGCCTTGATTTAAAACCTGTAAACATGTGATGATAGATAAGGCTACTTCTGTAGGCGTTGCTCTCAGGATGCTCTGCTGGAGGGTTGGCAACTCTTATACACTGTGATAACTTCCGAAAAGTACTTCCAAAAGAAGCAACTGTAAAGTGCCTTGCTGATGCAGGCTTCTTCCTAGATGAGTAGGTTTCTCTCAAGATATATCCTTTTGCACCATGATATTCTCTACTATGTAACTGAAAGTTGCCACAAGTCCTTTTTATTTTATTACGCAATTAGTGATCCTATGGTGTTATTTCTTGACCAAAAAAAGTTGAGAATTGTAATGGACCAGAATTTCATTAACTGCTATTGGGATTTGAAAAACTGTGCTTCTGGTACATTGACTTCTAATTAACTGTACATGGCATGCTCACCATCTCTCATGTCATGTGTTACTAAGTCAAATAATTAGTATAATCTTTATTCCATAAATGTCAGGAAGGATATTAGTGGAAATAGTACAATGAGATCTTTCTATCATGATGTTACCCAGCTTCAGGTAAGGTTGTCGATACTAATATTCTTATAGCAATATTTCTTTCACAAACTACGATTATACGTATCTGTTAAAGTATATAGGTATAAATAAATAAATAAAGTACAATGTGATTTTTTCTTTTAATTATATAATAATCAATATTTTGTTGTCAGGGTGTTGCAAAAAGTTTGCACAAAGATTGCATTGCTAAAATGGAACCATCTAAGGCAGGTTTTTAGTCTATTATTTGTTGCCTCAGCCTTTGGTATAATTGTTGACTGTAAAATTTGATTAGTTGGTTCATATGTTTCAACTAAAGCACAACCAACTGTGTATTTGTAATGCAGTGTCTCTTTCCACAAGAAATTGTTAAAAACATAAAGACTCCAGTGTTCCTTGTTCATCCAGCTTATGATTTCTGGCAGGTAAGCTCCCTTAGCATGCATGCTTCATTGTTAACATTTTCTTAAAATTTTCTGTGACAGACATGTAATACAACTTAAAATGTATTTAGATACGCAATATTTTGGTACCTCTAGGATCAGATCCCCTTGGTCACTGGCAAAACTGCAGGCTGAACATTCGTAATTGCGATGCTAACATGATTGATAAACTTCATAGTAAGTAAACATCATAACTACCATTTAGTTTCTGGATATTTTGTTGAATTCTTGGTTTGTTAACGTCTGTGAGCCTTCAAATGGATTAGATTTGGAATAGCACAGATGTTGATTAATGATGATCTAACCTGGAACCTAAATATAGTAGCCACACGAGGCATGGATAACTTGGGAAATTATAATTGTCAGGTTACCGTGGCTCTTTACTGAAGACTGTTAGTGAATTCCAACAACGAATGGAGACTGGAATGTTTATAAATTCCTGCTTTATCCATTGCCAGACTGAGATGGAAATGACATGGCATTCATCCAACTCGCCTAAAATAAATGATAAGGTAATCATAGTTTTGGCACCTCACATTTGCTTTGTAAATAATATAAGTTATATAAATACTCAAGACATGGAATTCACCCAACTATCTTGAAATAAACAATAAGGTACCCCTAGTTATAGCACCTCACTTATGTTGTGTAGATAACTCATTATTGGCATTCACCCAATTCCTTCTTTGTGATTGCTTCATGATAGTAATTAAAAAATAATAGTTTTATCTCTGATTTAACAACTCCATTTACTTTCCTTGAACTTTGATTATAAGATTGTTTATATGCTTAATCATTAAGTGGTTGGTTTGAGTGATTGTGGAGTTTTACTAGTGACTACTTTTTGCAGTTAGTTTTTGGCTTTTTCCCATTCTTTAAAATTTAAATGTGATTTTGAAATATATATGTAGGAAAACCACCTTAGTGGCGGTTACCCCCAGCCCACCTTAATTGCGTCCTCTTTTGGCTGCCTCAATTGAAGCCTCAAGTGTTTGATTTGATTTCTAGCTGTCATGTGTCTGATGTGATTTATATTTTTTAAGGATAGGGGATGTTTTGGAGGAAAAGGGGAAGAAGGATAAAATTTTCAATTCTAATCAGAGCTATTCTCCAAGTAGATAATTTTTTTTAAAATACAACAATATCCCACTAGGACAAGTTAGCTATATGGTTCACACGACGCCATTGGCCCTTGTTGAAATCTAAATTCCTTGGAATATAGTTTACCTGTGGTTTAACAATTTCCTCTTATGCACTTATTAGTTTCCTTCTATTGCTTTTCAAAAGTTTAAAAACCATTTGATCTACTTTTCTCATTGATGCGTCGGTTGGTCTTCTTTACATATGTCCAAATCACTTGAACTGTTTTTTTGTCATGTTCTAAATAGGTATAGCAAATATGTCCTTTGATACAGTAATTTTGTATTGTGTACTTTCTTTTGTGGACACTCATCCATTTTAACAGTCTGATTTTTACTATTCTTATTTTATCGGGTTTTTCCTTTTTAGTAATTCAGATCAGATCAAATTGGACCAGGTTCTTGCTTGGTTTGACTTGGAACCATGGTTCCATGATATATATATTATGTTGGGGTTGTAGTCCAGCAGGTGGAGGTGGGTGATATGGTGTGTTTCAGTTGTAGGGGTTGGGGGTTAAGGAGTTCACATAACAGCTGTAATGTATGGGACACAACAGGTAGTGAATTTTAGTTGAACCTGTGTTGGGATCTTCATTGAGAGATCCTTCTTCGTTGATTAGTTACAAAGTTAATCTCCCTTTTTTCTTAACTCATTGGGATCTTTTTAAGATTAACACTCTTGCCAGGACTATAGGTAATTTTCACACTCATGCTCGGTTCTACCCTTTTTTTCCCATGATAATAATGTCGAGAAATTTGAGAACATACTTTTGATCATTCAGTTGGTGAAAGGAGATTGAGGGTCTTAATGAACATTGCTACCATTTTTTTCATATAGGGGAGACTTTACCTGGGTAGCTACTCCCTTAGCTTCATAGTATATCTTTGAACATTTCTCCATCCTTTTATCATATTTTGTAATTTAATCCTATCATGGGCCGTGTGAATATTGTATTTATATTGTTTCAAGAAGTCATATGCTTGATCATTCCGAAACTGGATGCAAGACCTCTCGAGATGTGTGTACTAACTAAAGGCATCTATAGTATAACTGCAAAAAAATTGTAGCAATAATATCATGAACATGTGATGCCATTTTCTGCAATAAATATTTCAATGATTTCTTGGGCAAGACATACATATTGAATCCTTTAGCTAGTACATGCATCTCAAGAGGGCCTTTTTACAACATTAAAAAGCATTATGAAGGTCTATAGCACCAGCTATGCCATAACTACTTCCTTGCAAGACTCCCAACTTATCTTCCAATATTGAGACTTCTGTCCAGGATTGGAAGTTTTTGTTGTATAGTTACGGTGTAAGTCTCTAGCTACTTTGGGGGAATGAAAATGCAATGGGAACATTATAGTGGCATGAAGTGTTGATGGATTTCCTTGGGTGTTTTAAGGCCTTGTTACTGAACAGTGTTTTGCGGACGAATCACATTAGGTACAAAAGTTTCTTGAAAGGTGATGATAGGGTGTTGTGTAGTTTGGATGATATCCATTTGGAGAGGGTTTAAAGGGGTTAGTAGATGGACCTTGAGACTTGGTCTGAATTATATGATGTGGAGCAGAAGTTGATGGTCAGTTAAGGCTTGTTTGGATGAGTTTTTCCATAAGCATCTTTAAGAGAAAAAACTAATAAGGAAAAATGAAATAAGTTTTTCATAAATTAAAATTAGCTTTTATTGAAGTTATTCTGTAAACATTCTCTAATATTATAGATTTTTAGCATATGCATAGCATAAATTAGTTTTAGTTTATAGAGAACTTTCTTTCTTCTTCTTTTTTCGTATTTTCCTCTCTTAAAAGTGTTTATAGAAAATTTTTACCCAAAGATGTCCTTATTATCTAAGCGCTTAACTGCTAATGGAGGCATATAAGCCAAGAGGAAGGTCATACAAAGGGAAATTTGATTCTTGACTATAATTTAGAATCACAAAATAGTTTGATATTTTAAGCGCAAACTTAATTAGGTACACCTTTGGACTAGCTTCTTTATCCACATCTGTCCATTAAAATGTGAAGATCCTTACTCATTCTACAGTCAAACTAGATTCGGGTGTTGATGTTGTGAATCTAGTTCATTTAACCCTATACTTGAGTCGAACAATGCATTACTTCTTGATTATAACTTAGCAGTTAGCATTAGCACATATAATCCGATGTGATTGATCCCGTATTTGGGATTTGACAACTTTTATGTTGATTGTCGTCAGGGTCTAACACAATCGTTCTCTTTTAGCCTGGAATCAGTTACAGGATCATAGTGAAGTAGTAAAATAACAAAACTTAATTTCACATTTTTTGTTTATTTTTATAGGCCTTATAAAGTTATTTTATTTAAAATCGGAAGATGTGTCCTCCCTATCCCTGTAAAATCATACTTCTGTACATCAAAAAAAAAAAAAAAAACTTTAGCAAAGTCCCTTCATGTCTGGTTACATAGTACTAGCTTTTGTCGAACTGTTCCTTTAGCTACCCTTGACTGTTGTTTCTCCTGGAGCAGACAATTGCTGAATCTGTTGGTGATTGGTACTTTGACCGAGAAGCTGTAAAGCGTGTTGACTGCTCCTCTTTTCCGTGCAATCCCACTTGCCACAATATGGATTTCACCTGAATATAAAACAAAGCCATTGGCTCCATTTTGTATTACCCCATTTATTTCGGATCTTCGTTGTTTGAAGTTTATGAAGGACTATACTCCCATTTATGCTCGTTGCATGAATTTTGCTTCACTTGATTGTTGAGTTTGAGAATTTGCTGGGGAGTTCATCTTTGTCACTTTGCATGATACGGATTCTACAGCCTTGACCAAGTAATTCCTTTCTGTTATTGTCATATAATATTGTATAACTTTTTTGTTTTAGTATCTTTGACTTTGTAAAGGTTTTTATGAATTTCCTAATGCAGCACAAGTTTTGTGAATTGAAATAATACTACTACTACTACTAAGCACTTCATAATACGAACTACTACTACTACTATTATTATTATTATTATTATTATTATTTGTGATGTAGTTGTTGCGTAAAATTATTCTGAAATGCTTTAATTCTAACTACAGTTTTTCCGTCTAGAGAGGACTTTTCCCTGCAGATTGCCGCTTCCGTTAACCACCCAGACAGTAAACAAATAAACAAATTAGCACTTCATAATACGAACTATCAACTTGAAAGATCTCAACCCAGATTTGTAATGCCTCTTAAGTCAGCCTCTTCACTTTTTCTTCGATCATAAATAAAACAATCCACGTTTCCTGATCTATGTGATACAAGTATGTTGGGTTTGTAACAAAGAAGCAAGAGAAAATAAGAATGAAAAAAATGTTAGATATATATATATATATTTGAAGTATAACTTATATAACGTCATTACATATCATAACTATGATTTTATAATGCATTATTTTTAAAATATCTTGAATTTTATTTGTGATCTAATTAACTTATGATTAATTAAATAGGAGATTAATTCGATTCATATAATAAAATACTATTAGAAAAGCGATCATTGTAACGAGATCAATAACAAAAAAGAAAAATGAAGAATTGGAAGAATAACGGATTACACTTAGGAAACAGTGAGTAGGATCGAGAAGTTAGAAGAAGCTATTGTAACATAATGATCCATTCACGCTTAAGGAGCTATGTGTGAGAAGGATCTTTTGAATAAAAATAGATTAATGATGCACAAGTGGGGGATATGCAAATAGTGGGGATATACAAGTAGTGGTAATCAGTGGAACCTTTCTTCCTTGGGTTCTTTCTCTATTTTTGGATTCAATTTTACAGTGTTAATTATTACTATATTGCTTTTATTTTTCAGTTGTAATTCTTTGTTCTTCAATCGTATTGAATTACAGTCATAAATACAGTCCAAAGTTTTCATTGACTTATGGCAGAAAACACTCAACTCTCGGTGAAACGCAAACTAGAAATAATGGAATCACGTGCTCCCCTTGTCTAGAGACTCTGGAATTAATGGTTGATGACATGATGGAGAAAATGTGCCAAATCAATTCTAATCACACAGGACCTCTTCCATTTCAGGTTCACAAAGTTAAAATTGATTTTCTGCATTTTGACAGCTGGGAGTAATTTTTTTTATTATTATAACACACCTGATGCACAATGATGAATTATTGTTGCAATACATCTAAACAAAGAGGTGGTACTTGATTTGAAATGATGGCCGGAACGAATGCTTTTCACTCATGCTTAGCTTTCACTCGAGCTTTAGAAATGAAATCTGACCCCTCTTTATGAATGCCCATGCCCTCACTCCAGTTTATTTAAACTCACACAACACATGATTAGTCGATCCTTATATACCCAATTTACAACTTTAGCTAATTGGGTGCAAGGAATTACCACCAAGGTTTCTTTGATCCCTTCAGTGTCCCTGGTCAAGCTTTACGAAGAAAAATACATAATCAAAACCAGATCCTTTCACCAACAATTCCATACAAAATATAATATGTATAGTGATGAGTGGATAAAATATCACTACATTCATGCATTAATTTAGGTTAATTTCATATGTTGTTGCATTATGGGAACAATTTCATCATGTATTATCGTTGTTTTGGATCATATATGGTTTGTGCATTGTTCTTGTAAATATGTGTTTGGAGGTTTAAATCCATAGTTTGCTTGTGAAATGTTCCACAACCTGTGGATTTGGTACCAGAATGCAAAGATCAAGATCAGAGAGCTCCACAGGTGAGTTGTGGATGTTTCCACAACCTGTGGATTTGTGGTTCAGAAGACACAGTTGAAGTCAGAGAGTTCCACAGGTGGGTTGTGGATTTTTCCACAACATGTGGAAATTCAAGACAGTTATGAGAAGTGGTAACTACCTCAACAAGTGGAGAAAAAACGTGGGACACCCTATAAAGAAGGTGGAACGAAACTGAAGAAGGGGAGAACCAGAGAACCATTATGGAATTTTTTACGTGCTAGTTATTATCTTTTAGCAATTTTTACATTATGCAGAACTGATTTTCCTGTTGTTGGAGGATGGATGTAGTACTCTGAATTATATTTTCTTGTTCTTGACAATTGATGTTTAGTTAATGTTCTTTATCTCAGTGTTCTATTTATAATTTTCAAGTTCATTCCACGAGCAGTTTCACAATTGGGAGATTGAAGGTTGTTCGCGATCCTAAATATAACAGGTTAGGGTTTGTCACAATTGGGAAATTGGGCATATATCTAATTAGTTTACAATAGAGAAGATTATTGTTTTTTAATGATTCTATTGAATAGCGTAACTGACCTAAGGGATTGGGGGTTCAGATTCAATGAATAGTTTTGCCTACTAAGGGATTAGGGGTAAAACAACTCTGAGTAAACTCAAGTGGATAATTACATTTCTTGCATCAATTGAAAGGACGAGAATTATATAGGAAAGGGTATGAAATCAATTCTCTAACAGATCTTATTTTGACTAAAGTTCTTATTATAATTTTGTGTTTGTTTTCTTTTATCCAACTTTTCAATGGCTCAAACTTACGTATATTAGGAATCTAGTATTCAACAAATTCAATCCTAGAGGACGATATTTTATTACTACGTTAACGATTGATGCACTTGCCAAACGTTCATCAAGTTTTTGGCGCCGTTGCCGGAGATTGATTTTTCTGTTGATATTAGTGATCGAATTCGCTTAAGATTTGAGTGTTAGTTTTTAAGTAGTCAAAACTGTTTTTATTTTAGTTATTTTGTTTTTCTATTTTCATTATCTTGTTTGTTTTTCTGTTGTCACGTTAATTTTGTTGTTAGAATTTTGTATTCTTTTTAAGTTGTTTATGCGAGGTACAGTGGCAGAAAAAATTTTGCTTTTTGACCCAGAAATTGAACGTTACGCTAGACATAATAGAAGTGAGACAAGAAAGAAGAAGCAAAAAGGAAAAGCGAGAGATATCAAGTAAAAAGGAAGAGCACGTATCAACAATGGCGGAGGAACAACCGGAGAGGAAAACTCTTCTTGATTATTCTATGCCGGACGTGAATAATTACCAAGGGAGTATTGTGAGACCTCCTATTCAAGTCAACAATTTTGAAATCAAGCCTGCATTGCTACAAGTCATCCAACGGAATCAATTTGGAGGTGCAGTTGCAGAGGATCCTAATTCTCATCTAGAGAATTTTCTAGCCATATGTGATACTTTGAAGGTTAATGGAGTTTCAAGTGAGGCAATCCGCTTGAGGCTTTTCCCTTTCTCATTAAGGGATAAAGCTAAAAGCTGGCTTCAAACACAACCTCAAGGAAGCATCACTACATGGGAAGATATGGCAAAAAAATTTGTAACCAAATACTTCCCTCCATCCAAGTCAGCAAGAATGAGAAATGAAATCACTACTTTTGTGCAGCAAGAGACTGAATCTATGTACGAGGCTTGGGAGAGGTACAAGGAGCTATTGAGGAAATGTCCACATCATGCTTTACCAAATTGGTTACAAGTCCAGATATTTTATAATGGTCTTGTACCCTCTTTTAGAGCAATGTTGGATGCAGCAAGTGGAGGAGCATTCAATCTGAAGACACCAGCAGAAGCCCTGGAAACTATTGAGTTAATGGCAAATAATACAGGGAATATGCAGTTTGATCGTCAGAATAGAAAAGGTGGAATGTTAGAAGTTAACACTTTGGATGCTATCCTAGCCTAAAACAAGTTGTTAACACAACAAATGACCGAGTTGACTAAGAAGATTGATAATGTGCAAGTGAAAGCAGTGAAGACAACACCTTTAGCATGTGATTTTTATGGAGGAATGCATCAAAATGGTGAATGTCAAATCACTCAACAAGAGGTGCAGGTGAATGCAGTGGGTCAACATCAGAATCAGTTTGCTAACCATTTCAATACAAATTGGAGAAGCCCATCAAAAAAAACCTTGGAGTGGATCGAATCAATCCAATCAGCCAAAGCTTCCATATCAATATCAACCACAATCTAACAACCAAGGAACTAAGATGTTTACTTTTGAGAGAGCTTTAGAGAAGTTAACTGAACAAACCTCAACATTTGTGGAACAAACTTCTAATTTCATGAATGAGACAAAGACAAATTTCAAGAATCAGGAAGCTTCAATCAGAAATTTGGAGAACCAAATTGGTCAACTTTCACGACATATCTCAGAGAGATCTCCTGGAACATTTCCTAGTGACACCATTACCAACTCAAAGGAACAATGTAAGGCAATTCAATTGAGGAGTGAGAGATTGGTAGAGAATGAGAAAAGGAGTGAGATGGGTAGTGAGAGAAAAGAACAAAGAGAGGAGATTGTGATAGAGAGTGAAAAGAAAGAGCAGAAAAATTGTGAAGAGGAGAATGAGGGAGAGAAAAGTCAAGAGAGTGAAAAGGGTAAAATGAGAGAATATGTTCCCACTATTCCATTCCCTCAAAGGTTGAAGAAGAAAGAACAAGAGAAGCAATTTGCAAGATTTCTTGATGTCTTTAAGAAGCTCCACATTAATATCCCATTTGCTGAAGCATTGGAGCAAATGCCAAACTATGCTAAATTCATGAAGGACTTGTTGTCAAGAAAAAGGAAACTACAGGAGGATGAAACCATAATGCTTACAGAGGAGTGTAGTGCAATCATTCAACAAAAATTACCTCCCAAATTGAAGGATCCAGGAAGTTTTGTCATTCCATGTGAGATTGGAAATTTAATGGTAAGCAAGGCATTGTGTGATCTTGGGGTGAGCATCAATTTGATGCCCTTGTCCATTTTTAAAAGGTTGGGTATTGGAGAAGTGAAGCCTACTATGATAAATCTCCAACTGGCGGACCGATCAATGACTTATCCTTATGGAATGGTGGAGGACGTCTTAGTGAAGGTTAATAAATTTATCTTTCCAACTGATTTCGTGGTCCTTGACATGGAAGAAGATACTAAAGTCCCAATTATATTGGGAAGACCATTTTTAGCCACAGGAAGAGCATTAATAGATGTACAACAAGGTAAATTGATGTTAAGAGTAGCTGATGATAAAGTCACTTTCTCCATATATGAAGCAATGAAGCATAAGGTGGACAAGGAGGATTATTTTCGAGCTGAAATCATCGAGTCTCTGGTATTAAAAGAAAGGGGTAATCACCTGAGGAAGAGTACGTTAGAGCAAACTTTGTTTTCTGGAATGGGAGCAAAGGAGTTGATTCAAGAAGTGAGTGAAGAAGAAGTGGTGCAGTGTGCTCATCAATTAGAAGCTCTCAAGCCATTATTCAGTTCCAAGAATAGAAGACTTAAACAGGAGTGACATTGGTGAAGAAGAGACATCTACGGTAGAGTTGAAACCACTCCCTTCTCATCTTAAATATAAATTCTTAGATGACACAAAGCTTAATCCTGTTATTATAAGCAATGCATTGACTATTGTTGAAGAAGAAAAACTTTTAAGGGTATTGAGAGATCACAAATCTGCTATAGGTTGGAAAATTGATGATTTGAAAGGTATTAGTCCCACTTTGTGCATGCATAAAATCTTTTTGGAAGAGGACTTCAAACCTATTCGACAACCACAAAGAAGGCTCAACCCCACAATGAAGGATGTGGTAAAGAAGGAAGTAATCAAGCTTCTAGACGCAGGCATTATTTATCCAATTTCTGATAGTGAGTGGGTAAGTCCAGTTCAAGTGGTACCCAAGAAAGGTGGGATGACATTAGTAACAAATGAAAAAAATGAGCTTATTCCCACAAGAAAAGTTACAGGGTGGCGCATGTGTATTGACTACAGAAGATTGAATCAAGCCACAAGAAAGGACCATTTTCCACTCCCGTTTATAGATCAAATGCTTGAGAAATTGGCTGGGCAAGAATACTATTGTTTTCTAGATGGTTATTCTGGTTACAATCAAATAGTAGTGGCTCCTAAAGATCAAGAAAAGACAGCGTTTACATGTCCCTATGGAGTTTTTGCTTACAGGAGGATGCCTTTCGATCTCTGCAATGCACCAGCAACATTTCAAAGGTGTATGTTTTCCATTTTCTCTGATTTAATTGAAAATTGCATTGAGATCTTCATGGACGATTTTTCTGTGTTTGGATCTTCATTTGATTCTTGTTTATCTAACTTGACTTTAGTGTTAAAAAGATGTCAAGAAACTAATTTAGTGTTAAATTGGGAAAAATGTCAATTTATGGTGAAAGAAGGTATTGTTCTTGGTCATAAAATTTCTGCTAAAGGTATAGAGGTGGATAGAGCAAAATTGGAAATAATTGAACAATTACCTCCCCCTGTGAATGTAAAAGGGGTAAGAAGTTTTTTAGGTCATGCCGGTTTTTATAGGTGGTTCATCAAAGATTTTTCTGAAATAGCAAAGCCTATGACTAATCTTCTAGAAAAAGAAGCATCTTTTGAGTTTGATGAGGCATGTTTGCAAGCATTCATAACCTTAAAGAAACAACTTATCTCTGCTCCTATAATTGTTGCACCTAACTGGTCTTTACCATTTGAGCTTATGTGTGATGCTAGTGATTATGTTGTGGGTGCTGTATTGGGACAAAGAAAAGAAAAAGTGTTTCATGTCATTTATTATGCCAGTCGTGTGTTGAATGAAGCTCAAAAGAATTATGCCACGACTGAAAAAGAATTGCTTGCTATAGTGTTTGCTTGTGATAAATTTAGATCCTATCTTATTGGGTCTAAGGTTATTGTTTACACTGATCACGCTGCTTTGAGATATTTGTTTGCTAAGCAGGATGCTAAGTCACGATTAATCCGTTGGATTCTCTTATTACAAGAATTTGATTTAGAAATACCTCTCATCCTCGCCCTAATCCACCCTCAACACTTCCTTCTGTTTCCCTTGATTCTCATGCTGACGTGGTTACTCGCATCACTCAATCACTTGCTGATCTCCGCACTCAACACCAACACCATTATACCGAATTCGTGCAGTTTTGGGATTCCCAACTTCTACATCAACAACGCATGGAACAATTGCTCCAAGAGGTGATGGAATTCCTCCGCTCCAACCAACCATAATTTTGTGAGTTCTATCCCTTCTAGTCTTAGTTATTTTGCTTATGTTGGGGACAACATAAACATTTAAGCTTGGGAGGGTCAATTGCATATCATTCTGTTGTTACATTTGCATAACATATACATTGAATTGGGAATTCATTATCTTAACTCAAGTCTTAAGTTTGTTCAGTGATATTTTATGAAGCATACTATGGTTATCTGTCATGATTATTTGTTGGGAAACTTCACACACTACATAGGAAGTCTGGACACTATGACACTTAAGGAATAAAATTTTTGAGTCATAGAGTAAAAAGGATATGAAAGTTTTTAAACTTTTTAGGTTTCTATGGTGACACTCACTGCATTTTGTTACTGGAGAATTGTCTGTTAATTCACAATAATTAAAAAAAATATATAATAAGTGAAATGACACCCCTTTGAGACTGTGTGAGTTACTGGGGAAAGAGGCACTCCTTTGAGACCGGGTGTGGCAAGTGCAAAGCATCCGAGTGGAAGATCCATGTTTAGTTGGCGGGTAATTGTCTTCTAGGCGGAACCTAAGAAAAAGTTTTGTAAAGAGAAAATAAAGCTCAAAGATTGTCTTCCTTGATGTCTTGTGCCTTACATCCTTTCCTCAACTCACTTAGGGACCCAATAATTGTGGAATAAATACTTTTGGAATATCATTGATTGAATTTGGATTTGAGACAAGACGATGTATTCCCAATAAAAAACACTCATCATTTTGTTTGCATTATCGTCCTGTTTTTATTAAATTCTCTTTGCTTGAAGACAAACAAAAGTCTAAGCTTGGGAGAATTTGATGAGTGGATAAAATATCATTACATTCATGCATTAATTTAGGTTAATTTCATATGTTGTTGCATTATGGGAACGATTTCATCATGCATTATCGTTGTTTTGGATCATACATGTGGTTTGTGCATTGTTCTTGTAAATAGGTGTTTGGAGGTTTAAATTCATAGTTTGAAGCAAGTTCCACAGGTACCTTGTGAAATGTTCCACAACCTGTGGATTTGGTACCAGAATGCAAAGATCAAGATCAGAGAGCTCCACAGGTGAGTTGTGGATGTTTCCACAACCTGTGGATTTGTGGTTCAGAAGGCACAGTTGAAGTCAGAGAGTTCCACGGGTGGGTTGTGGATTTTTCCACAACATGTGGAAATTCAAGACAATTATGAGAAGTGGTAAGTACCTCAACAAGTGGAGAAAAAACGTGGGACACCCTATAAAGAAGGTGGAACGAAACTGAAGAAGGGGAGAACCAGAGAACCATTCTGGAATTTTTTACGTGCTAGTTATTATCTTTTAGCAATTTTTACATTATGCAGAACTGATTTTCCTGTTGTTGGAGGATGGATGTAGTACTCTGAATTATATTTTCTTGTTCTTGACAATTGATGTTTAGTTAATGTTCTTTATCTCAGTGTTCTATTTATAATTTTCAAGTTCATTTCACGAGCAGTTTCACAATTGTGAGATTGGAGGTTGTTCGCGATCCTAAATATAACAGGTTAGGGTTTGTCACAATTGGGAAATTGAGCATATATTTAATTAGTTTACAATAGAGAAGATTATTGTTTTTTAATGATTCTATTGAATGGCGTAACTGACCTAAGGGATTGGGGGTTCGGATTCAATGAATAGTTTTGCCTACTAAGGGATTAGGGGTAAAACAACTCTGGGTAAACTCAAGTGGATAATTACATTTCTTGCATCAATTGAAAGGACGAGAATTATATAGGAAAGGGTATGAAATCAATTCTCTAACAGATCTTATTTTGACTAAAGTTCTTATTATAATTTTGTGTTTGTTTTCTTTTATCCAACTTTTCAATGACTCAAACTTACATATATTAGGAATCTAGTATTCAACAAATTCAATCTTAGAGGACGATATTTTATTACTACGTTAACGATTGGTGCACTTGCCAAACGTTCATCATGTAGGAAGAGATGAATGACAGAGATCATTCGAAAAAATACTAGCATTTACTATTTTTATATATTTTTACCTTTTTATTCTATTTTTTTTATTTCGATTTATCTTTAACATAATAATATTTATTTTTTTATTTTACTTCTTATTTTTTTAATTTACCTATTTATTTTAGTTCAATCTACTTTTTTTAAAAATTCAATCCATAAGATTAACTCAAACCATTTTTAATATAAATCTTAAATTTAAGATATGATGCATAAGTGTTTCAAAATTATGTTAGTATAAAATCCTGAATTTAAAAAAAAAAATATTTAATAAGAATAACAAGTGTTTAAATAAAAAAATTATAAAACAAAATAAAATCACGATTAATATAAAAATATTTTACTAAAAATATAAGATTATATTTATTAAATTAATAATACTAATTTATTCATAATTATATATTTTTATGATAATTAATTTCATTAGGAAAAGAAAAATAAATATATTATAATTAAAAAAATTATTTATATATTTAAAAATAATATAAATATAAAAGAAAAGAAAATATATATATTTTAAAATTAAAAATAAAATAAAATTAAAAATAATATTTAAAAAAAAGTTAATTATACAGAAAATATGTGAAAGCGTAAGTCCGCTTAATATAAAATAAAATAAAACCTCGGATCCCGACTTTGACTTCACAGTTCACTTTCATTTGCCCATGTTCCAGTCCACACTGTCACGCATATCCCGGCAGCGGCGCCACCCATTCTCAACCGCCGCCGCCGCCGCCATCGTCGCCAATAGCGTTCCGGCCTCGTCCCTCCCTCCCTCATCCTTCAAAATCCGGCCCCCAGTCCACCCCTGGCCTCGCCGCCTCACTCCTAACAACCTCGCCTCCCTCATCTCTCGCCAGCACAACCCCGAACTCTCTCACCAAATCTTCCACCATGCGCAATCCCTCCACCCCTCCATCTCTCACGCACCGAAACCCCTCCACGCACTCTTCCTCAAACTCTCACGCGCCCGCTGCTTCTCCCTCCTCGAGTCCCTCCTCACGCGCCTCCCCAACCCCCCGCCAGAACCCTCCTTCGTCATCCTTATCCGCGCCTACGGTCTCGCCGGAAAACCCATCTCCGCCATCCGCCTCTTCCTCAAACTCGAAACCCTCCGCGTCCAACCCTCCGTCAAATCCCTCAATGCGCTCCTCAACGCGCTGGTTCAGAACAAACGGTACCGTTTAGCGCACTCTGTGTTTAAAAGATCTACGGAAAAATTCGGGGTCGTGCCTAACGTTGTTAGCTGCAACATTTTGCTCAAGGCGCTGTGTAAGAGCAATGAAGTTGATGTTGCAGTTAGGGTTTTGGATGAGATGGGTTTGATGGGTTTGGTTCCCAATGTAGTTAGTTATACAACTGTGCTGGGTGGGTATGTGTTTAGGGGTGATATGGAGAGTGCTATGAGGGTTTTTGGAGAGATTTTGGATAGAGGGTGGGTGCCCGATGCAACCACTTACACTATTTTGATGAGTGGGTTTTGTAGGATAGGGAAGTTTGTGGATGCAATTAGGGTTATGGATTTGATGGAAGAGAATGGGGTTCATCCTAGTGAGGTTACTTATGGTGTCATGATTGAGGCTTATTGTAAAGGGGGGAAATCGGGGGAGGCTGTGAACTTGCTCGAGGATATGGTTGCAAAGGGGTTTGTGCCGAATTCAGTGTTGTGTTGTAGGGTTGTTGATTTGTTGTGTGAGGTGGGGAGTGTGGAGAGGGCTTGGGAGGTGTGGAGGGGGGTGGTGAGGAAGGGGGTTCAGGCTGGTGGCGCGGTGGTGAGTACAATTGTGCATTGGCTTTGCAAGGAGGGGAAGGTGGTGGAGGCAAGGGAAGTGTTGGATGAACTGGAGAAGGGGGAGGTTGCGAGTTTGTTGACTTATAACACGCTGATTGCTGGGATGTGTGAAATAGGGGAGCTTTGCGAGGCGGGGAGGCTGTGGGATGACATGGTGGAAAAGGGTCGAGCTCCAAATGCATTTACTTATAATTTGTTGATTAAAGGGTTTTGTAAGGTTGGGGATGTGAAGGAGGGTATTAGAGTGCTGGAGGAGATGGTGGAGAGTGGATGCTTGCCTAACAAATCAACATACTCTATATTGATTGATGGGATTTCTGTTTCAGGAGGAAAGAAAGAGGAAATTGAGAAGGTAGTTTTGTTGGCCATAAGAACTGGAATTGATGGTGACTTGTGGGATCTTTTCTTAAAACTTGTGGGTAATTTAGATGACAATGCAGCAAAGCTTGATAGGATACTAACAGAAAATGCAGTGTGATAAAAGAAACTTTTTGGATGTGCTGTTGTGTCTGATCATTGGAAGTTGATCACCATAGGGGATTGAATGCTGGGCAATGTTCATCCAATGTAGAGGTATTCTTATATGTTATATGATCTGGTCATGCACATAAACAGCAAGTTTGTATGTTGCAAAATATAATTATTGTCCCCTTCAACTTATGGAAGGCTCATTGTGAAAATATGGCACGAGTGAGTAGCCTGAAATTTATTCAATTACTACCGTCTATGTCTGAATTTAATTCAACTGTTTGCATTGAATTGCAGGTTATGTTTATGTTGTCGGCTGCCTAAGACTGGGATCGATTTCCTTCCTATAGCAAAGGGAGTCGATGCATGGTTTGTATGTTGCATTACATGTCTCCCACTCCCTTTGTGGCGTGCTTGTAGGTTGTGGAAACTGAGCCTGAGTTGTCAATTAACTATGGGAGTCCCATTCCATTACTGACTGTTGTTTAGTGGGCCTGTGTTGCGTTTGGATTCAAGAAATGATCGATAGTCAAATTATACGAGGATTCAATTGCTCCAGAGATTTTTTTATTTCCAAACCTGTACGTAGAAGAGTTACGTCTTAGTTGTTTTTCTAGTAAGCTGCAGATATCATATGCATGCCCCTAACTGCAAACTAGATTTTCCTGATGCAATTCTGGGCTGCTTGTAAACCCAGAAGAGAAAGATGGCCTTAACAAGGGATTCAAATAGTTTCTGGACTGGCAGCTGGAAGTGTTGCACTAGCATTTGGAATGATGTAAATGTAGTAAATTAGTAACATCAAAAGGAAAATGTTGATATTCTTTATCATAGTGCCCTATGATTCAACCTACATCATGTAATACTGGTCTTTGTAACCAGTTCACATAAGGAAGAGGAGAGAATAATTTCTGAAAAATGTGAGACTTTTTTTTTTTTTTTTTGCGTATTCGTTATTTCTATCGCCGGATTCAAACATACACTAAAATGAGAAATTCCTTGGTGAGAATAGTTTGAAAAAAAGCCTGAGAAAAGATCCTAAGATTTAGTTCTGCACCATATTCACAGGGTATAAATGTAACATCAAATTTTCAATGACCTTCGCCGGCAGATCAGTACCAATGACGTGGGAGGATTTCTCTGAACCTTGCTAACAAATATCGGTGATATCTTCTCTTATTCTCTATTAATTTTCTTCGTAGGAAATAACTGTGTTCTTCTAAATGGCTTTGGAGGATTTTTCTGAACCTCGGTAACAACCCTTTATCTTTAAATATTTGAGAAGAGGCTTTGGAGTTTGCCTTCTGTGTGTCCTTTATGATGGTTATGTTTATGCTAGAAGGATCATATTAGCTTGATGCAGTTCTTGATCCACAATCTCCAGCTGGGCACTTTTTGGTACCTTTCTTTGTTTCATTGGAAATATCACCAAGCTTTTAAAACATTTGTAAAAGACTAGTTGCAGTTGAGATATACCTTCTTTTATTTGTACACTAAACAAATAAATGTTGGTACTATTTGGTTTGGAATTTTTAGAAAATATGTCTCAATAAATTTGTCAATCAAAGTGCAGAATATTACGTGTACAGTATAAAAAACAAGTAAATTTGTTTATAAAGTGAAAAAATAATATGTAACAAAAAGTCAATAAATAATAATTTATTTATAATTCGTTCATGATTATCTTAACATAAAAGGAACTAAGGTAAATATCATAAATTAGTAAAAAACAACAACCAAAAAATAGAAACAAGTAGATGATATGTTATTGAATCGTTCTCGAATTTGATCTTTTGTAAAAATAACTTTTGATTAGATTTTACTTACTTGATGGTCAAGTCGGATTTACTTGAAACAAAGTATTCAAATATTGGTTAACCATGTTTATTAACCAAAGCATATTATATATTCTATAAGATGAAAATAAGTGATAACTACTTTTCCTGAACCAATTTATTAGAGATTGAATAATAACAATTTGTAAGAGAAACATAGACTTTATAACTTAATCCATTCAATTTTTCAATCAAACCGAATTGTTCAATTTTTTTAAAAAGGTTGTAAAGCTAGGAAGAACATATATCAAACCAAAAAAAAACAATGATTATAATAAAGCAACTATGTAGAAAACTTATCTAAAACATCTTTTTTTATACAAAAAATTAAACTGACTTTCGAAATTCAAGCGTGGAAAAAGACAAACCTTCTTCTGTGCAAGAAACCATTGGAATTATGAAAGTTTCATGCCTGAATTTGTAGATAGATTTAACTCTGAATGAGTAAAGTATTCCAACACAAGTTATCTTGTGAGTCACACACTATAGTCACCACCTAACACAAAAGTTTAAGATGGAACTTTGACATAATTGTATGAACCATGTAAAAACGTAAGTTACTAGATAAAAAAATACACAAATAATATATATCTAACAAAGATTATCCGAATAAATCATTCTTGGGTTTATCTTTCCTAAGCTTGTACGATTTTTTTTAACCTAAACTTTGAAATTAAGTAACGAAATTAGGGATGTAAAAAGTTAAAAAAAAATAAAAAAATCAACTATCTAATCCATATTTCAAGATTAGGGATTATCGTAGGTTACAATTATTTTTTTCCTAAATTAGTCCATTTTAGGAAATTTTGAACCGTGGATGTACCCAATACCCACTTTTTATTGAACGATCTTAGATAAACCTAAAATCATTGTTAATCATAATAGTTTAGATTGATATGTGTACGTGCGTGTAATTTCATAATCAATCAAGCGTTTTCTATTACCATAGACCCACTGCATTGTTGAATTTCCATTGCCACGCGTGATTTGTGTTTGTTTTGCTGAAACCAATTGGAGATTAAACAATAAGAAAAATAAATGGCATATGGTATACTTTTTCTTCCAGTAAATTAAAACATTGCTTTCAAAACCATTTGCCCTAGATTTTAAATTAGTAACAATTAACTTCAACCATGCACAGTTTGAATTAAAAAGGACAAGTTCTTGGACTATCAACCTATTATATCCAAATCACTATTTCCTGCTCCTTATTAGGTTGACTATGCCTTCTGAATTCGGTAGAATTTTGAGATCAAATTCTTTTGTGGACCCTTCTAACAGCTTGTTATTGTTTGAAATTGATAATTTTAAATCCTTGATGGATTTAGTACAAAAAGTAATGATCTTTTGTCAACTGCTTGCCATTTTTGTATCATTGGAGAAAAACAATGGGCGTTGACTTCTGTGATCCGGTTATGACAAAGTTTTTAAATTCTAAGAGAAAGGGAATATTTCCCTTGGAATGTATAGATATATTCTGAAAGAAAACAAAAGATTGATTGGTCATCAACACAGAAGTGCTTTCTTTCTAGAAGGGGGTTTGAACTTGTAGATTGCCTTTAATTTTGAATCTTTGGTATAAAAAAAAAAAGATGTTAAAAAGGGTAACAAAAGAAGAACTAGAAGGAATTGCCCAAAGTTTCAGTGAGTGTCAAAGACTGTGTGTGCTTAGTTGCTATACTCATAATCTCATGCATATTTACACCAATGAACGCCATATTTTTCCCTCTAATGAGATTACGACAACAGAAATGTCATCATGGTAATGACGGCGTTCCCCCTGAGGAATATCAAGCAGTTCATGGAACTCCAAACCTGCAACATGAAAGTCAAGCTCACTAAGATTGTTTTGACTTGTGAATTCCTTTCATGTTGAAAAATATAGAGGGAAAGTGCTTTATACCAGCCCTATGTGCTGCTCGACCTAGTGCTTCTTCAATGAGAAGTTGTGCAGGATCTCTATCAGGAAACATGGTGATGAATGACTCTACTTTGGCAGCTGCTTCTTCATTGGTGAAGTATTGGTAAAGTCCATCTGAAGACAATATGAGGAACTTGTCATTTGGATTGAGCTTGTGGTGGTGGAGTGAAGGGAAACATGTGATGTATGGAGATTCCCCTATGTAGCTCACTCTGAACGTCTCTAACACTGCATTGTTTTGCTTAGGCTGTAAAATGGACCAACAAAGTCATGCCATGGGTGTATAAATATATCTACAACAATGAAGTAAGCAAGCAATTAAGGTGAAATATAGTGGTCCATAGAAGAAGCAAATGGGGTGCTACAAAATTTGTAGACTGTTGACATGCAAGATGTGCTATGAATTATGATTGAGTCGTATCAAAGTTGACTTGTCTTACATTTACTTCTGAAGAATATAACCAATGAACTAATTCAATGTAGCAGTAAAGAATAGGAGTATGAACCAGCATTGCAATTCTTTTATGCACTAACAACAAGAAGAAGAAAATCTAAGACATGTCTTTGAAGAAAGACAGAATTTTAAGTGTGACTAAATCTCAGACTGATGATTATATTTATAACTGATCTCAGACCGAAACTAGGGATATAAAGATAATTACGGTGGTTAAAAAACCAAAACAAGAAAACCTTATTCTACTAGATTAGGCCATGAAGTTTAGTTATTTACCAAATTTTCATGTATTATTCACATGACATCGCTCCTAACTATGCTTTTTATGCAGTAATGTAAGTAATTCAGCAAAGGCTATTACCTGCTTGAGGAACCCTGCCCCAAAAGCCCTTGTGACACTCAAACGACCCTTCACCCGGCCTCTAGTTACTACCGAAGGGTCATCAGGGTGCTCCCTCCTGATTCTGTAAACCTCCTGAGATTCACAAAGGTCTCAAACTATGTCATATGAACTTAAAACACCAACCTTCATTCATTCATTGCTCAGAAATCAAGTTTGATTGCACAAGCACAATCTACCTCTTTCACGTGAGTGCTATGCTCCATGGTGAGCTGAAGAGATTCCCCACTGTGAGTGGCCAATACAGCACGGCTATCTCCCACATTCATCAAGTAAACATCTTGACCCTTCATCAACATCACCAAAACACAAGAACCCATCATAGCCAACACAGGGTTGTGACCAATCATCTCTTCAGCAGTCCTCATGAATGCATCCTCGGTCTTCCTCAATGCCTCTGAAAGAGCCTGTAACACATCTGAGTGACTTAAATCTACTCTTTCACAATTTATCCCATTCATTCCCTCTACTCCTTCTGACACGCATTCCACATTTAACTCTTCATTTTCTATTGGATAGTTTTCTCTATTTTCACCTGAAGAACCACAATCATCAACCACTCCATTTCTCTTAAGCAACACCTTCTCCCCCAATTCCGAAGAGTCTGAACCCTTGAGCTCAAACTTGTTGTGACCACACAAGATCTCCTTGAGCTCATCATTTAAGGCATAAAACAAATTGTTGAGAAGAAAATCAGTGGCATCAGGGCCATTAAACCCATCATAAATCCCCACAAAAACCCATCCATGATCCTCACAAATCACAATGTGCAAACGATCCTCACCAGCTTTCCCTTGAGCCCAGTGAAGATTCTCACAGCCCATCAAAACATCACCATCCAAATAGTTATTACCCTCAACACCATGCAAACTCATCTCAGCACTCAAACTAGTACTACAACTCACTCTGGAATTAGTACTATCATTTTTCTTGAAAATAGACATTCCCCCAATGGATATCCTTCTGAAAACCTTTTTCAAATGTCTCTTACTTCGCTTCCCCTTATTCATTGCTACCTCAGAAGAACCTTTCTCGATCGAACCTTCATCATTCATCACACGGTCACGAGCACCCCAAAACAACCCTCTTTCCGTACACCCTCCCAGAGAGGATTCACGAGGAACATGCTGATGCTGAAAAGGCACCAAGGTGGACGTGAAGGAGCCAGAGCTCTCAAACGAGGCAGAGGAATCCAAAACGGTGCCGTGTTGAAGCCAATCATCGAGCGCAGTTGAAGGCGTGGCCGACGTGTTTGCACTCACGGTGGCGCCGGAAACAGATCGGAAAGTTACGAGGGTGATGTCATCGTCAGAAAACGTCTCGCCGGAGAACCGACACGTGTCGGGTCTCACATAGCAAATAGAGTTTCCGAGGGAATTCTGGTGTTGCTTGGAGAGGAAGGAAACTCTGTTCTCGAACCTTCCGGAGGCGTCGCCGGACGAACAGAGGCAGAGGTTGCTGATTCGGTTACCCATTGGGATTTGGAAGAGAATGAGAGGTTTAAGTTTTGAGCTTTGGACGTGAGTGTGGCAATGGTGAAAATGGAGGATCTTGCATTGCAGAGAGAACAGAGGAGACAAACAGAACAAAAGAGAGTAAAACAGGGTTTTTTTTTGCAAGAGGGAAGAGGAAGGGGTGTTGACTTTGTGGCATCTCCTTAAAATTTTAAAACAAAGATGTTGTTTTCTTGTGGATAGTTCATGGTGGTTTTTCTTTCATAGTTTTATTTATTTGTTTTTTCTTTTTGGTAAGTTGACTATGAGTTGGAGTAAAAGGCTAGGAGAGCGAGAGTTTTTCTTTTCTGTTTTTTTCTAGGAGTGTTGAGTTTGAATGAGAAAGTGTTTTAGGGGTAACAGTTTCTTTATTTTAATGGTGGTGAGTTTGAGCAAGGGAGAGATTATAAAGGGGAAGGTGGTGTACTTTTTAAATTGAAATAGTAATAGGCAATAAATTAAGATGCTTTTGACTTTGCAAGAGTTAGCATAGAAACGGTGTGGGAAGCATTTATGGAGGTTTTTATTACTACCTTCTGTATTCTCCTTCACCAAATCAATTCATAAATTGAAGTTTCTGTACTCTTTATCACCACGAGTTTAAAACAATTTATCAAGGTTACTGTAATATAATCATTTGTGTTTTGTTCAACTCTAAATTTGTATCTGCATTAACCTTTAACTGTCCTATCAGATTCTATACATGTAATTTTGAACCTAATTTGTTTTATACACTTTTAGCATAAAGATTGGTAAGCATGAATATGGAGATTTCCTATTCTTGCTGGTCTAACATGAAAGATATATTTTATTCTCCTTATGTTAAGTATTAAAAGTCAACAAATTGTCCCTTCTGGTTACTGATTTGCTTGCTTCATCTGTTGTGATATGGTTGAGCATGCACTGATAAAAAAGTGGAGAATCAGATGAAAAAGTTGAACGAAGAGATTCCTAAATTCCATGAGACACCAAAGACAAAGCAGAATTGAATGGTGTGAGATATGTGTGTGGACTTGTAAACTAATGAGTATTTTGAGCATGGCATTTTGACTTGAATCAAACAGTACATGTGCTTGAGATCCAATTCTGACCAAAGAATACATGCAGATCTAACAAAAACTTATTTATGCAGGAGTGCACCTCTTCAGTTCTATAATATACTGAATTTATATTGTACGCAGTTTTTGTTTTGGAAAAATGAATTTTGCAGAAACAACATGAACTTTCTCATCATGCATGGTTGCATCTCACTTACCATATCAATTATTTTTTTTATGCAATGCTTAGTAACTGTCACATCAGGTGGAGGAATTGCACTGTGAAAAAGAAAAAGAAAAGTCCATTAATATGAGGAAAGAAACACTTGAAGATGCTACATAAGCTAAATAATAAGTGCAATAAGTAGGTAATTTTATAGCACATAAATGGGAGATATTAAAAAGGTCTATCTAACACTAAAAGCCTATCTGACATACTCATCATCCTTCAGGTCAGCGTCAGAAAAGGAAAATTAAATTATGAACATCATTGCATTATTTCTTTTCAACCTTTCATTCTAACCTAACTGCACATAATAAATATGTTTTAATATTATTTCTTATATTTTGTTAGAATGTTTTCTATTCTCAATGTTGTTCTTTTTCTCTTGCAAGAAATTTATATGTTTGTTAGTAGATGTAATCGCCGTAACACGTTCGTCCGAAATCTCTTTTGAACGAGACAAACTTTATTTTTAACAATTTCAAGTGTTTTTGTCTAACGTAAAATAACTTTGATTTCTTCTTCTTATTCTGTGTGTTTCTTTTATGCTACAAGGATGTTCATAATTTCTGTAAGCATGTTTTTGTTATAGATTGACTTTAGGTTAAAATATTTCTTATTTTGATCATACATAAGATAAATAATACAGGATCATATTTATCAATTTTGAGATCTTATATTTTTCAAATTTTTTAAGTGGTGAAATTATTTATCAACCTCTCACCCTTAAAATAACATAATTATTTTATTTAAGATATCGTGTAATGTAGTTAATTTTAATATGATTTAATTAATATAGTTGCGTAATATTCAAATTATATAGAGAGAAAATAACTTAATTCTTTTATAGTAGTTTACTTGTTTGTATTTCTTTAAATATCTTATATTTTAAAAATAAATTAAGATTATCATAACTTGGAATCTTTTCTAATTCTTCATTATCCATTTTTATATTAACTAGAATTCATGGTTAAGATTTTTTTATCTCTTCAATATTTTCATCAGGATTTTTGTTTAATCTATTAATATTATTTCCAGTGGATAATTTTCTATCATATTTACATATATTGAATTAGTTATAATATCTTCTATGAATAATAATAAATTTGTGAAAAACACTTTGTTAAGATTGAATTAGTTTTTAATAACTTTTTCAACTTTCAGAATTAGCTTCATACGTTCTATTTAATCTATTTTATTATATTTATGAAATATTTAACCAATCAAATAAGAATTAATAAGCAAAATATTTTTTAAAAATTAAAAAAAATAATAACAAAATAGTAAAACCTAAAAAATGTTACTATACAGAATTATTAAAATATAAAAATTTAATGATATAATATAAATTATATTTTAAAATAGGTTATAATTTTTAGTATATTTTGACTTATGTTAGAATAGTGGATTAATAAGCTAATTTTAACCGGATGAAAATTAAAAAAAATTAACGTATTTATATCTAAAATAATTAATTAAAAAATATATTTAAATAAAAATAAAAATATATTTTAAAATTTAAATTATATTAATAATGTAGTTTTTATTTAAAATATAATAATTTAATATCTAAATTATAAAAAAATAGATTCATTCAATATAAAAATAAGAGTTAAAAACTTATTTATTATTATTATTTAATAATTTATTAATTTAAAATAATAATTAATTTTAATCATTAAAAATTTATTTTGATATTTATTCTTAAAAAAATAATTTTTTTTAAATTAATTTATATTACATCTATATTTTTTAATAAAATATTTTTATTTTTATTTTTATTTTAAAAATTAATTATTATTTTATAAAACAGATCATCTCATCCATCTTTATATAAGTCATAGTATAACAGATGGGTTAAAATAAGTCTGTTTCAATTTATGTCATAAATTTTAATATAATATAACATATTTCTTATATGAATTTCTTATATTTTTTGTGATCAACTAAGCCTAAAACCTCGAGTTTTCAATACAACTACGTTCTAATTCTAAATTATATGTAATAACCAAAGTCCCTATCTCGAATCGACAATTACTTTAGCATCTACAAAAAAATTAGATGTTCAATTACTTTATAGTGTTAATGAAGAAGGAAGATTGATTGAAAAATTATTTTTTGATGATGTCCTTATAAGATAACTAGGTAGTTGTGTAATTAGTTTGTGTAAAACCAAATTATCTAATCTTTGTTAAAATAAAAAAGGTAAAAAGTTAAAAATAATTAATTAGGTTAAAACTAAATTTATATTAATCGAATAAGTACTTAATCGATTATATAACATAAATTTATGTTTTCATGACATGTGTTAATAATCGATTATGTGGTCATTTAATTGATTATATATCTAAATCTTTGTTTTGACATAACGCGCTAATAATCGATTATGTTGATACGTAATCAATTATATGGCTTATTTTCAGACTATCACTACATGCAAATAATCTATTAGATATTCTACTAATCAATTATCTGAATCACTTGCAACATATTTTTACTCTATAAAGGGATTTAAACTTTCTTCAATTAAAACACATCTTTTAGAAACTATTAAAAAGAAACGTTGTGGGCATCAAAAAATGTTTGTCATTCTGTAAAACATTTTGAAGAAAATCAAATTCAAAGAAAAAATTAGTTGGCTATAGGATGCAGTATTCCAAAAGTCTAAGGTGAAATCATTCTTGTCTTTTTCTTTCTGAATCATTATTGTATTATGATATATGTGGGGTGAGCTATATCAAATTAGCTTAAAAATTATGAGGATAAGTATTTTCAAGTGTTGTGATTTATTTTTAGATATTGCTTAAAGGTTGTTGTGATCAAAATTTTCAGATTAGGTTATAATTTGGTTACTAAACAAGTTTTAATGAAAAATCCAAGCTAAGGTTGTTTGGTTGGACTGGATGTAAATTCAAAAGAATCAAACTAGTATAACTCCTGTGTTCTTCTCTTTCTTTCATTTATCTTGATATTCTTGTTATCTTGACATTGTTCTAGTTCTTTTAAATTTGAATATCAGAAAAGGATTTTAAATAATTGATTAGATTTGAAAACGATTTACAAACCCAATTCACCCTCCTTGGGTGTGTTTAGACATCCATCTTTTTCTAACAATTGACCTCAGAGCTGGGTTATCAAAAGTTAATTGATTTTGATAAAAAAAAAAAAAAGAATGACTAACATTTCTCAAAATTTTGCTAAAGGGGCATCTATAAACAGATCTCCTTTATTTTTTGGTGAAAATTATCTATTTTGGAAAATAAAAATGAAGATTTCTTGAATCTATTGATAACGGTTTTTTGGATGTTGTTGTTAATGGTCATTTTCAACCAACCAATATTAAAGATGGTATGACAATAATCAAATATTTTATTGAATGGACCCCTGATGAAAATAAAAGAGTTCACTATGATATTAGAGCTAGGAATATTATTTATTCTGCATTAACACTTGATGAATTTTGTAGAATCTCTGTTTGTGAAACAGCTAAAGAAATGTGGAGTGTTCTTGAAGTCACTCATTAAGGAACTGAAGAGGTAAAGAGAGTAAGAAAGAATATACTTATTCAAGAGTATGAAATGTTTAAAATGAAGACTGAATAAAACATATATGATGATTAGAAAAGATTTACTTATATTGTAAATCATTTGATGACTCTTGGAAAGATCTTTGACAAAGAAGAATTGAATATCAAGATTCTAAACAATTTAGAAAGAAATTGGCAACCTAAAGTGACTGTTATTTCAGAATCAAGAGATCTTACAACAATAAATATGACTACATTGTTTGGGAAGCTAAGGGAACATGAGTTACAACTTGGAAGACTGAAAGAAGAAGAAGAAAGTGAAAGAAGACACACAGTTACATTAAAGACTGAATGTTGTATTCTGTTTTTCTATTAAGGGTTTTTTAGTATGTTGGTGTAAATGTGGAGGGAAAATCGTTTACCATTATGAGTCATGCAAATGCAATAGAAAAATCTGTTCTTCACCACATGGGGATGGTTAAGAGAGATGATGATGGGTTCTTCAAAAATGAAAAAGAATTTGTTGACGAAGCAGTAGAACCCATAAATGCAGACATTCCTACCTCCTCTACTAGAAGTAATTTTACTACTTTTGAATAAAGTATGTTAGAGAAATTAGATAACATACATCTTTGGCAAAGAAGCATGAGTATTAATACTCCAAATTTGACAGTTTGGTTGATCAAGTATCCTCTATTCTATCCACATTACAACAAGAACAAGGTGACACTAAAATGGAAGATGAAGGAAGTGATGATGAAGATGACATAATAGTTGAGCTATCTTCAAATGATGATAAATGATTAATATGCTTTCTTTAATTATATGTTTAAATTTGCTTGAACAATTTCTTTGCTACATTGTAATATTTGACATATTAATTTGTTGATTTGTAACTAATGATACTTGATATAACTTGTTTATCTGACATTATATTTGCTTTTGGTTATGCTATTACTCTTCCAACTCTATGTTTAACCTTTTTTTATTAAGTCCAAAGGGGGAGAAGAGTTATTGAATGGGTTGTCTGTTGCTATGTCTGGTTGGAGAAGAATTTATTGAAAAGGTCGCTGAAAAATGTTGAATGCTTTACTTGGTTGACCATCATCAAAAAAGGGAGAAATTGTTAATGAAGAAGTAAGATTGATTGAAAAATCGCTTTTTGATGATGCCCTTATAAGATAGCTAGGTAGTTACATGAGTAGTTTGTGTAAAACCAAATAATCTAATCTTTGTTAAAATAAAGAAAATAAAAAGTTAAAATAATCAATTATGTTAAAACTGAATCTGTATTAATTGATTAGATAAATACTTAACCGATTATATGACTTAAATTCATGTTTTCATAACTAGCGCTAATATTTGAATATGTGATCACTTAATTGATTATGTGTTTAAATATCTCTTTTGACATAACGTGCTAATAATCGATTTTATTGGTACCTAATCGATTATATAATTTATTTTTAGATTATTACTGTATCGCAAATAATTAATTAGATATTCTCGCTAATCGATTATCTCGAATCAGTTGTAATAGATTTTTACTCTATAAAATGATGTAAACTTTCTTCAATTAAAATACATCTTTTATAAATGATTAAAGCATTAAAAAAAAATATTGTGAGCATCAAGAAAACGTTTGTAATTCTATGAAACATTTTGAAGAAAATCAAATTCAAAGAAAATATTAGTTATATGATGTAATATTCCAAAAGTTTAAAGTGAAATCGTTTTTGTCTTTCTCTTTGTAAATGTCTATTGTATTATGTTGTATGTGATGTGAACTACATCAAATTAGCTTGAAAATTACGAGGATAAACATTTTTAAGTTTTGTGATTTGTTTTTAGATGTTGATTAAATGTTGTTGTGATTTATGTTTAGATCTTGATAAAAAGGTTGTTATGAGCAAGATTTGCTGATTAGGTTATAATCTGGTTACTAACCGAAGTTTTAATGAAAAATTCAAACTAAGATTGTTTGACGATATAAACTCTTGAATGTTTTTCTTTCTTTCCTTTATCTTGATATTTTTGTAGTCATGATATTATTCTAGTTCTTTTAAATTTGATTATAAAAAAAATTAATAATTAATTAGATTTGAAAATATTTACAAACTCAATTCAACCTCCTTGAATGTCTTTAGACATTCACTTTTTTTTTAATATATAATAAACAACTTATCAAATGAGTAAGACAATGAGTAATATATCTCACAATGTGTTCATAAATTAGTTCATCGAGCATCCCTTCTCCATAATAGAAGAACCTATAATCAAAACCATTGGTATGTAAGCTACGTCCAATTTCATCCCAATCTCCAAAAGTAAAGTGTTCATGGTGGCAGTAGAAGAAGGATCCTCTCAAAGCCTATAAGTGAGTTTCGTTAGGGTTGGGGATCCTACCATTTGAACTAGCTATATCCTCTAACATGCCAGAAAGACGTACAAATATGAAAGAAACAAAAGGAGTTATGTCATACGGAAAGCTATCATAGTTACAGCGAAAATATGACGAAGATGGAAGAGTGATAAGGAATTGAGAGAGATTGAGGAACTGAAAAAGTGTCCACAATGACTGTAAGAGAACAGAAAAAAAGTGGCAAACTAAATAAAAGAAAATTTAACCATTATTTAACTTGATTTCTTCAGTTTCTTTTACATATATCACTTTAGTATTTAACGATAGACCAATAAACTTTTACATCAAACAAACAGAACAGTTATTTGAGGAGCTAAATTTTACAGACTCATAGATGTGGGTCAATTCCTCTTGATTTCCATTATCATAGATCTTAGCTCTCCCTTTCGATGATATTTAATAGTACAATCTCTTTTCTTTTTCATTTATTGTAGGGATATATCAACTGTTTCATAACAGTAACAAAAACTGTGCGGACTAAATTATGATAGAATTGTGAAGTTTGAACTACTACACTTTTTGAAAGAAAGAGTGACGTTTTAATTATTAATTTAACTTTAAGCCTAATAGTTAATGCTTAAGTTAACACTTCGATTTTTCAGATAAACACGAATCTTAAACTACTTTGAAAGAAATACTTCCTACCAATTTTGGTGATGCTGCACATTTATCAGTACATCAAACCAGTTTATTTGATTCTTCTATTTAAGTCTACATGACTGACCATCATTAAGGTATTAAAACTCACTACATTATCTACCTAGAACTTCTCGAATCCTGCTTACATCTTCAAGTATCAAACTCTGACACATAGTTCACCTTAATGCACATGTATGTTTCTACCTTTGCATTGACACTTAAATTTAAGGACTCATAATGCTCTTAAAATTCTGGCAGAAATTTCCTATGTTTATCATACTTTTAACTACACCTCCACATGGGTATTATCCAACAACAATATGTTTCTACCTTTGCATTGTCAATTAAATAGGGACTCATAAATCTCATGAAGTTATAGCATAGTCTCGTATGTTTTTCATATTTTCGCCCACACCTCCACATGGATATATATGAAATAACAAATAGTGATACAACCCGTTGGAAACAACTGTCATCATTTTCAATTTTAATCATTCTCAATTATTCATGACCTTGTTTATGTAGTGTTTCTAACATCCAAAGACACCGGAATTTCTTGTAAAACTTGTCCTGCCATCATAGAGAGAAAAACATAACAACATGCTATTCTTCGCGTTAAACATGCTCTTAACCTTTATCCTCATCCATATTCATCTAAACATGTTTCTACTTGTTCCTAACTATGAAGTGTTTGATAGTCTGAAAATAGAGAGAAGTAGATGTTGTGAGAAAAGAAAATAAAAGAAATAAGTAAAAATATCATGTAAATATGATTATTTAATTAAAGAAAAACAATTAGGAAATAGCATGATGAAACAATATATATATATATATATATATATATATATATATATATATATATAGCAAAAATGCAGGAATAGCATCTAAACAGTATAAATAAGTTAATATGTGGTTACTTTCCATATCTCATCAAATTTTGTCTTCAAAGCTTAGAGATTAATGTAACACTCATTTTCTATGACTAAAACTTTAGAAACATCTTCAAAAAATAATGACCAATATATAATAAAGATGTATAGGGACTAAAACATTTGTTTCTGTACACAAATATTGATTCCTAAACGAGTGACACTGTCGCACATAGAGACCTAAGGTTAATTGAACCCATTATCATTTCAACACAGCCATCAACACATGGATAAAATCATGCCATCAAATGCAGTTGAACAGAAAAACAAAAATAGGATACCAAAGGCACTCCTTGAAACAACTACCAAACATTTCACTCTGAAACAAAAATCCCACATTCCTCACTCACAAAACTCCCAAACATTTTCCAGTACAATAGCATCTTCAAGCCGTAAAGAAACTCAGCTTCATAAATTTATCATGCCAACTAATATATATCGATTGCTGATATCAATACAAGTAGTAGCAAATAAACCACAAGAAGTTAAATGAGAAGACTACAAGAGTTAAGTATCTTAATTTCAGAAGTTCAATTCATTTTACTTTCTTATTTTCTTGCAGAAAATGGTCTAAACAAGAACCTATGCAAAGAGACAAGATGGAAGGAAATGCACGAAAGTGGAATAAACTATCGCAAATCATAATAGAATAAATCCTCCACTCCATTGCTTGAAAAATTCCCGGATAAATAATCATTACCTCTAATTTAAAAGTTCTAAAATATTATTTTACAAGCCACATTGTTGAAAACGGAAAGAGGAATCGACTATAGGCAACGGCTAAACCAAAAAAAAAAAAAAAGTAAAGTAAATACATTTAGGCCATTTCAGGTGGGGAGGTTGAAGAGGGGACTGGGAATGGAGGCAAGCGCAGCACAGCTTCCTCCGTCTCAATTGGGTCGGATCTCAGTATCTGAAACAGAAGAAGAAAGGTCAAGAATTAACAAGGAATGAAAGAGTAGGCACAAAGAAATCAAAGAGAGAGATTACAGGATCTTGAAGTACGGGCTTGGTGTCATCCTTTGCTGGCTTGAAAGGGGGTTTAGGTTTGGGTGAACTGTTGTTGTTTAGCTTGATTGAAGATTCTGAATTCTTGTTCATGGTTTATTGTTTGTTGTGTCACAGACACTGAAACTGTTTAGGGTGTTTTGTTTTGTTGCAGATGTATCATCACCCAAACTTTTTCTCAAGATAATAATTTGAGTGAGTGAAAAAGCAAAAGTTAACTTTCTCTCTGTCTTCTTTTCTCCCTTATCAGCATATATTGTATATTTTTTCAAAATGAGTAAGAAAAGAAAGATGGTATAAGAAACTAATCAAAACCACAATCTAAATGGATTCGGTGCCCACATAGAACGGCAACCCTACACTGAGGGCCCACAGCTACACCAATACTTTACTTTTTTTCTTTTTTCTTTTTTTTTACAACCCTATCACACTTTATTTTTATAAATATAAATATATATTTTTAAATGTTTGGAAAATTAAATTTAAAGATTCAATTGTTTTTTTTTATAAAAAAAGTTCTTTATAATTTTTAATTATATGTAAAAGATGATAAATAAATTTTTAAAAATAAAATATGTAAATCTATAAGTTTATAATTTTTTATTATCTTTTAATAATTTCTTAGTTTCTTATAGAAAAAATAACTCTAATTAATTATTTTTCAGAAAACTCATTAAAATATTTAATTATAATTAATTTTACAATAATATCATTAAATTATTCAATTTTCCTAACCCTTCCAAAATATCTTCACTAAAAACTTAAATGTTTTGCATAATGCTATAAAATAAAGACAGAAAAGACAAAGAGATTTGATGAAAATGGGTAAACAGATCAAATGAATGAAGGAGTGCCATGTAGTGACAATTTCCACAGATATTTTCACGCCTTTCATTACATCAACTCTCACCGTTCATTCTACTTTGACCGCCATCAAACATCTCATCTAACGGTCAAAAACTTCGCAAACTTAAGTTTTGGAACACACCAGAAAATCCCACGGTAATGATAAAGTGTCGAAAACGACGTCGACGTGTGTGGAGATCCGCAAGCGGATTAGAGGTGCCGCGAGATCGCGACACGTGGGTGGTGGAAATTCCACTCTCTCTCCACTCATTGTACTATAAATTAAGGTCATGGCTTCGCCTAGAAACTCGTTCTAGGGTGTGTGTTTGTTGTTGTGAGTTGTTCGTCGTCGTTATCTTCTTTTGTTCAGTGTTTGTTTTTGTTACCTGAGAAATGTCGTGCTGCGGTGGTAACTGTGGTTGTGGAAGTGGCTGCAAGTGCGGCAGCGGTTGCGGAGGGTGAGTGAGGCTTTCGTGCTTTTGCTGTGTCACTGTTTTGATTGTTAGAATGTTTTTTTTTTTGGGTGAAGTTTTCTTCCTGGATTTTAATTTGCTTTTTGGGTACCCTTTTGGTTGAATTACATGTATAATTTACGCTGTATTAATTTTCTTGCATGGGGACATTCTTATCACCTGAACCTTTGTTTTGTTTCTACAGAACATGTAGTTTTGATTTTCTTGCACGGAAAGATTTCTGGGGTGTTTTGATTTGTTATCTGGGTACCCTTTTCGTTGAATTTGAACGAAAGTTAGTGTTATGTGTTTTTTTTTTGCATGGGTTCAACGTTTTATATTGTGACCGATGGTCTCTTTTACTTGTGTAAGGATTGCCATGTTTCGATTTTTTTTTTTTTTTTTACTTTTTTTTTGGGATACTCTTTACATGCTTGTTAAATCTCGCTTTTTTTCTGGGAAAATGTTTCTGGGAGTCCTGAAATATGTTGGAATGTGAATTCACCTGATCATGATGTAATTCACCTGATCATGATGTAAGGGAACCTTATTGATGTTTGTGCACTTTTAAGAAGTGAGAAACACTAATTTTTTTCACTTTGAGATATTTTCAAGTATAAAATATTATCATGATAGAGGAATCTTTACCATTTCTGTTATGTAAATTTCCCATAATTTCCCTAAGACTTTCTTCCTTACGTTTTTGGGTGTCTTTGGCCTGTTCTGCAGCTGCAAGATGTACCCAGACATGAGCTTCACGGAGCAAACAACCAGTGAGACTTTGGTCATGGGAGTGGCACCTGTGAAGGCTCAGTTCGAAGGTGCTGAGATGGGTGTTCCTGCTGAGAATGATGGCTGCAAATGTGGACCAAACTGCACATGCAATCCCTGTACTTGCAAGTGAGTTGGGAGAGCCAAAGCTTCAAGCAGAGATGGACCTTAATTACCATTAGCGGCAGGAATAATAATAATTATAATTAAAAAGCTTAAAATTATATGTATGTCTGTGTGTCTGTTCTTCGTGCACTCTGGTGTTAGGTCTAACACCCTTCAGAATAAAGTGGTCATGTCTTGCCCTTGAGCAAGTTCAAGTGTTGTGGACTTGTGATGGTTTATCTAGCCATGGTTACTTCTTTTTAGCTGTGTGGTTTGTTTTTTTTTCTCTGTAAAGTTGGCTAATCAGAATTATCATTCTCTGCTTATAATATTATATCACTAAGAAAAAAAGTGTTTCTTTGTGAGATTTTTACTATATTTATGATTGAGGGATAAGAATGTTATTTATACTCCATAACAATGTTTATAAGGACAATCTGATGACTACTTCAATATGAATCTAGGAATATAAGTTACTTCACGCTGATGAAAGTGTGAATATTTGTTTGTTGATTGAAAAATGAAGGATTATTTCTATACGAAATTACAATAGCATTTCCAAACTCAAGCTGAGGTCACTGTTGGTCCCCTCCTACTTGAAGGAAGAGAGTTTGAGTTCCATGTGCGGGTTTCTGAAACATTTGGCAGATTATTGTGATGGATACTGCTACTGTGGCTCTTTCCCAATAGCCATCATCAGTTCAACTTTTTCTTCTCAGCTAAAATACAAATTTATTAATTAACGTGAAATTTATAAACTTTTATAATTTTTAAAAACTTAAACTAATTAGAGAAGTGTTAATGTCCCCATCAATTCGTCTTAAGATATTTCGTAATTTCTATTACTATATATCCTTGAAAGTCGTAGTTCTGAATAATAAAATCTTTATAATAGCACACTGAACCAAAGAAATTGTGTAGACGTATTTTATTTTTAATAAAATTTCTGGCTTTTAAGAAAGATTTTTTTGGAATATCTTTTTCCAAAAATATAACGATTTTATCTATATTTAAAAGAGCTAATAACTTATTGTTAATTAAGTGTTTGATGGTTTGAATCTTAGTAGTAAAATTTGTTTAAATATTTTTTAACTAAATCTTCAAATTCAGAGGATTGAATCATGGTGATTTTGAATCTTGGTAATGTCATCTTAATTACAAAACTCTTTAATTATGGCAGGAGAAAATGCTTATCATCTATAGAAAGCTAAACACCTCATAATATATATAAGAAACAACTCATTCTCAGTTAATGAAATACTTTTAACAGCTTTTGATAAATTATTCGAGTTTTTGAATAACATACACACTCGTTGCGAATAAAAAATAATCAAATTCTGTTTCTATTTTTTTTTCTTCTAACGTTGGAAATCTTAACAAGTTCAATATTTTACTTGTTTTAAATTTAAAAATTAACAGTTTAACATATTATTTTTACACTATTTAAAACTTTTGTCATAATTTATCACTAAATTGAAGTTTCTATCTTATAGATTATATGAGTAGAAATATAATTGATAATTATAGTTATAAATTATTTACTACTTAATATTGTATTTGAAATATTATACGTATATATAAAATATTATCATCGTTTCACAAAACACTTCTAACTAACTAGTAAGAGAATATAATACATATACAAAATATAATATGATACATATCTAATAAACAGCAATAAATAAAGAAAAACAAAATTAATTAATTATTCTCATAATTTAAAATAATTTTTCTCATATATTCAAAATATTATATTTTTAATATTTCAAATTGTGGTTAAGTAAATGAGACAAAAAATTAACTTGTATTCATATTAATCATTTTTAATGATTAATTTATTTTATTTTTTTGTCTATTTACTTGAAAATTACAGAAATTATAATAATCGTATTTATTATATGGTAACCATTTTTAGAAATTATTTAATATTTTTTCATAAAAAAATATTTAATACATACTACTCATAGAATATGAATACTTTCGTTATATGTTTACTATTATTCAAGATTGATAAGTTTAGTAAAAACAATGTGCTGTATTACTATAATTAATATGATATAGATGATTGATGTTCTAATATTATAAATTGTTAATTAATAATGTATTTTATTGAAGAAAAAAAGTCTTGGATCAACATCATGCATGATTGATTTTTTGTTCATATCCTTGAATTAGATAGACGAGTTGTCTTGTTGACTATGAAATCATGAAAACGATGTTTATTCACTTCTACAAGTTTATCTTATTGTGACTTTGGATAATTCTATAATAAATCATTTACCCAAATTCCAAAAAGGCAATAAATGATTTTACTTAATTAACTTTACATTATATGAACCAATACTAACATGTCTTAAATAATATATATAGTCACTTTTATTTTTAAATTTTGTAATTCATTTACATTTATATATTTTAAAGTGAATTAATTTTTTTGTCAATATAAACAAATTATGTGATAAAAAACATTATATTAACCTAATTATACTCATTTATGTGACATGTGTTAGATATATCAATCAATATAATTTCTTTGTCATTTTTTACCTTTTTATGGTAAAATTTCATGCTATAATAAAAAGAGAATATATTAAAGCATTTAAATACAATTTTTATCTAACTAATGCAGAAAATAATAACAAAATAAAAGTAAGAAAAAATAAAGATATTAAACTCGAATAATAATAATAATATAAGTAATATGTTATCAATTTAAAAATAGGAAAAAATTAATTGACACCATTTTTTTAACAAATCTTTTTACAATTTCATTTAATAATATAATAATAATTTTAATTTATTTTTATTTTCATAAAATTTATTTATAATGGTTCTATGTGAATGTTTTTTTCTATCAGCCTTTTAGATAGAAAAGAGAGGATGAAAAAAAGAAAAGAAAAAGGAAAGGTATTAAAAGTTATAAGCCTAAAAGAGAAAAAAAAAAAAAGTAATAAAAAAGTGCAAACATGTAAACTGCATAACAGATTAGGCTTTGTTTGGTATTCGGTAGAGATTGGTGAGATTTAAGGGTGTGGATTTGAAGGAATTTAGAGAGGATGGTGAGATATTTGGATTGAGGGAAATATATTATATTAAAATGGATTTAAGTGAATTTATTATAGTTGATAGGATTAATGTGATTAAATATATAAAAAATTAAAAAATAATTTTTTTAATATAATGACTAAAATAATTTTATTGTTAAAATAAATAAATTAAGTAAAATGATAATTATAATATAATTGAATATAAGAATATTAATTAATCTTTGTACATAATATTTAAATATATTACTATTATTTTATATATTAAATATTAAATATATTAAGTATAATTTAAAGATTGGCCATTACTTTTCTCTTTGTGAGAACTACACATAAATTCTACAAATACACCTATCTATGCAAGTAATAGAAAATATAAAAATAATTTTAGATATTTTTATTAATATTAAAAAAAATTGGATTAAAAGAAAGATATTAGAAGGTAAAAAAGAAATGAGAAAAAATTTTATAATTGATTTGAAATAAAAAAAATATTAATAAAATAATTTATTAAATTTCTAAAATATTCTTAATTAAAATTGAATAAAATAAATATATAAAATAATTAATTTTAAAATTTTAAAATTTATATAAAAATAAATTTTAAATATAATTAAAAATCATGTATAAAAAATTATTTTAAGTCAAAATTTGAAAAATTGTAATGTGATTAAAAATTTATAATAAAAAATTACTAGAATAATTTATTAAATTACTAAAATATTCTTAAAATTTAATAAAAATAAAAATATATTATTTTATAAAAATATTTAATTTTAAAGTAATTAACTTTAAAATTTTAAATTTTATAAATATGTAAATTATTAATTAAAAATCATGTATAAAAATTTATTTGAAATACTAATTAAGAAAATTTAAATATAATAAAAAGATTTATAATAAAAAAACAATAACATTATTAAAAATAAAATTGTATTTAAATATAATTTTAATTTTATTATAATTAAAAAACTATAAAATCACATATAACTAGAAATATATATTATAATATTAACTTATATATAATAAATGTGATAATATTTTTTTAATATAATCGATTATTCATCTTCATGCATACAAATAATTAACATTATATAAATTTATGTATTCGAATAGTTGCTTTTCAAAATTTTATGATTCATATATTTTTTTTAAATTTTTATTATCAAATATTTTGTTTATAATATAATTTAATTATAATAAAACTGTAATTGATTGACACATGATTTATATATATATATATATATATATATATATATATATATAATTAACATAAATTTATATTAAAAATAAAAAATTTAATATAAGTAAAAATAATATAAATAACTAAAAATAATATATAATAATAAAAAAATAATTTAATTCATACTTATTATATTGGTTATATTAAAAAACAAATTACTAAGAATGATAAAATAGAGAGAAATATAACAAAAAATTGATAAAAAGGTAATATAGATATTACATCTTGAAAAAGTTAACTTTCTTCGTATTTCTTCCCTAATTGAAGGTAAATTATAAGACTCCTACCAAACATTTTGCTTATATATGTATGTACAAACATCAAGTATTCACTCAATTCCGTCCCTTCATTTCTTCAACAACACTAAATTCATTCATCAAATGTAACTTAGAAGTAAAAGATTGTTATTTTCAAGTAAACCATGAGAATGATTGGTGTGAGGGTAACCTACTTGTACCTGCTCATCAAAAAGCGTAAGAGATTGGCGCTTGTCATAGAAGCTACTACTTTATTTGTAGGTTTTGTAAGTTTTCTTTTTTATTTAAATTATAAAATCATATCATAGGCAAGAAAATGGTAGAATTAGTTGACACCCATATTACAAAGATCACACCATATTACAAACAAAGACCACACATGAATAAGTTGCTGTTAGTTGCAGCAGTGGTACAGTGATAATAAGTTGAAAAGAATTAAAATCACACTTGATGTTAGCCTAAAATTAAAAAGGCTGTTAATGAACTTCAACTGAGTATTGAATCTTCAGCTTTATCTTCAAATAATTTTTTTGCAGCTTTTGTGAACAGGTTATGGGCCTGCCAGACACTGGAAAAAGTTAGAATTTTTGCGACACATTTTAGAAGCAAAATTTCAGCTAAAGTAACATGCTTTAACATACCTGCTTGGTAGAGAGGCCTATCTTCTCCAAATCATTTAACTACATAATGACAAAACCAAAGCATCACACTAAGAGCATTATGCATACTTAATTCAGTATCTGTCTTATAAATATTCTTTATACTAACCGATTTTAGTGGACTTTCTTCTCTGAGGTCTATAATGTATTCTGCCATTTTCTCTCCTATGCCCTGAAGGAATTGAATCTCAAAAATTACAAAATGAAGAAAAATACAAGAATGGTGAAATAAATGAAGAAAAGGAAAAACAGTTAGAAAAAGAAGTAGCTATGGGGCATTTTTGTGACCAGCCAGAATGTACCTTTAACTCAAGTAGTTCCTCTCTGCAATTAAGAATTGAACTCAATGTTAATACACCTTAATAGAATGTTTATGCTTTAGGTAATAGGCAAGTTACCAAGGAAAGTGTTTGCTTTACCTGCTTGCATTATTTAAGAAATCAAGGTATTCTTGGACAAGACAGGTCTGCATATTAAGAAATTGGTGGTGATGTGAGAAATGTTGGCTCAAAAAGTCCAATTGTTAGTGGAGTGAGATAACCTCTGTTGTACCTTCAATGTAGAACTGCGTGTGCTGAATTTTCCGAGTGGAGTCTCATTCTTTTGTATCCCTTTATTAGTGGAGCAGGTTGCCAGAAAAGGTGTTTGTGTGAAAGACAATGCCTCAAGGGGTTTTTCATTAGCATTGATGTTGATGGGGGAGAGTGCTTTTCTTAAAGGACTTTGTGCTGCATCTTTACTCTCATTAGTAATTATTGAGTTTACTGCCTTTCTCAATGGCTCGGCTACACAAAATCATGTGGCATCAAAGCGTTAGAAAGCACAGAAGGCTATACCAAAGTACCAATCTAAACTTTCCCCATTATATTGTCAAATAATGCAACTTATATCAGGAATTTCAGAGTAGTGGCATACCAGGTAGATTTTTGTATGATTGCCATGCAGCCTTGTTGGCTTGATGCTCAGTCTCTTTGTTATCATGGTCCTTGACACCAGATGGTGCATTCTGCAGAGCATTGAGTGTTATTATATTCGAAGAAAGATACAATTTCTTAACTGTGAATGAAAAATTTAAAAAAAATATGAATATATTCAAGAAAGATGCAAAGGTTTCTTCACAGTCAATGAAACTTATAAAGTTTAGGAAAACAAATTCCTTGTTGGACTTTCTCTTGCTTCTTTTGATAATGCTTGTATTTTTCTGTATGAATGGCGTTGTATGGGTTATTGAAACTGTTAGTAAATGAACTGCACTTTTGATACTCACCTCCACGCATGAATCAAATGAACCTTCAGCATCTAGTAAATTTTCAAAAGCCACAGCAAAAGCCCTGCTTTAAAACATATAGCAGTCAGTAACAGACTAGAAAAAATTGATTTTCTGTAATCATGTATGCAAGAATAGGACCACTAGAGTCACCTTTCATTAGTATGTTTAGTATCTAGGTCGATGGCAGTTCTTCCCCCCTTCACTGAACTGTTAAAGGAAATGGATCTCTTAGCAGGGGTAACGATGGGAATGGGAGTCTTTTTAGGAAGTGGAGAATTAAATGGCCCAAGTCTTTGTGTACTCTTTGTTTTTCCTTTTGATTCTAACCAAGCTCTTAATTTTGCTTCCATGTCAACTTTAACTTTTGGGGTCTCTTGTTTGTGAGCTGAAGGTACAAAATTTGAGACATGCCTTGATCGAGCAGCTAAACTAACAGTGTGAACAGATTCCTGGTATTCTCCTGGATTCTGAAACCAAAATAATCTACGATAAAATTTTGAATCTAACCATAATTAATAGTGAAGCAAACTAATAAGACTTTCTCTTGGTTGCATAAGGAAATTTAACCTTATATAAATCTCGTAATCAAGCTCTATGTTGTTTACGCATCAGAAAATTTAGTGGAATAACAGAATATGTGAAGAAAAGAACTATAAAATCTATAGCTTTACCAGGCAAGCAACCATCAGTGCACGACTTGTTCCCCCTAGAGAGTCCTGCAATATACGGGTCAATTTGCTTTCTCGGTAGGGTACTCTAGGTTTATTGTTGTTCAGTGCATATATCACATTTGACAGTGCAAACAAGGACTGTTTTATCTTTGCACTCTCTTGGAGACGAATCCCTTCATTGCAGGTCCTTCTGTTGTCCTCATTACCTGCTTCAATATTAAACACATAATAAGCTTATAACCATAAGTGCTTCTAATCCCTTATACCAATTGAATATGGAAGTAACCTGCCAAGTCTATGAGATTCAACTTTCCACATACGACAGTTCCAGTGCCATCAGAAGAAGTAGTGCACACAGATATCACAAGCACTCCATGACTCCTACTAGAGACATCATTGAGGCCTGTGTGTGCAACTTTGCGTCTCTGAACTCCACAAGAGAAAACATCTTGAAATTCAGACATTGTGTTTATAGGAACCTGAGACAGTCCCCGGAGGTGAACTAGCCCATCTTTGTCATCCAAAACTGAAATCTCATTCTCTTTGAGCTCCAAAAGGTCGTAGCATCGGTCCATGTAGACCTCATAGTATGAGATCTGTGCTGTGCTGCCAGTGCTCTGGCAAATAGACAGGATCATAGACATTGCCAGTGGCATCAAGCCAGGTTGTTCCTCAGTTCCCTGCAACACCAAGCATCGGTTCATCTTAAGTATACAACATGAAAAAATAAGAAACTTCAAAAAATATAAAATGAAGAATCAAATACAAGCACGCAAAATTTTACAACTACGTAATTTAAGTAATCCAATAGTGGATAGACTTTTCCAGATCCACCTCCTTACCCCTATAATATCTAGGATAGTATTAAATAAAATATAACCAGGACCTATGCTATTGCTAACCATAAATAATCGTCCTAATTCTCACCCTCTTAACTCTAAATATGCATTTGATTCTGCACCAGAAAGAGCAAATGTGGCTCGAAAGAAGAAATCAGAAAGCTAGCTTTTATCTTGGATATGGGAACGAGGCACGAGTGTCGTTGGCTTATTTGATGCAAAACCAAACTGGCTACAAGTGCACATTGACAAGTAGGTACCGTAATATTAAGAATCTAAGACTGGATTCACTATTTTGAATCCTTGCATAAACTGGTTTGAATGATCACATGCATAAAACCCATAACTTATAAATTGCAGTTCACAACCATAATTGCAGATGCAAAATTGTAGTTTTTTGAGATCTCTGTATCCGCATGCCAATCACAATTTAAAAACCATACCCATAATCCTTACTTGCAAGACTAGAGTTCAGAAAAATATAACCGAATCCACCCTATTGCTAAACCTCATGATACAAATCCTAACCCTCATCCTCTTAACTCAAGATTCAGAAATTGCTCGAAGCTAAACTAATTCATACATCTCTCAGTAACAAAAATGTATAAAAAAAAATCTACTACAAACAGAGTATGACAAATTGGCGTTGCAAATAACAGGACTAATATCCCCATGAATTCAAAAACCAATTGCAACAAAGTGAAGTACAAGTTTCCCGAAAGATAACAGCCACACCTGCATGGTGTATGTCTTCCCACTGCCAGTAGCCCCATAAGCAAACACCGTGGCATTGCATCCACTGAACATTCCCGGAATCAAGGGGCTCACTTCTCTGCAGAATATCTGCCCCACATTGTTATCTTCCTGCCCAAAGAAAGAATCCAACTGGTAGCACTCATTCCGACTAAGGGAAAAAGAAAAAAAACCCGAAACAGTTAGAACCCCACATAATCAAAACCAAATTTCACCAACAGAAAATCCAAAAGGTGGGAAATTTATGAGACCTGGTTTGTGGGTCTTTGAGATAAACAGCAACCTCTTCCCGCGGAAACTCGAAATCTTGGTCCAAGACGGAGATACAAGAAACGGGTTCGCCGTTTTTTGCTGAGGTTTCGTGCTCGAGGAAGGGTCTTACTCTGACGATGACCCTCACCTTGGAAACCGAAATTAGGGTGTCGGAGGGTTTCTTCGGGGTGAAAGATTTTGGAGTAGCAGCCATAGTAGGTGGCGGAAAAAGCTTCAGAATTCGATGAAAATAGTTGAAGATCTTAATGTGGGTGAAATTGAAGTTTGAGATGTGATGATTGGACAGAGAGACAGAGTGGGAGAGGTTTTTGAAAACACATGACCGTTGGGTTTGCAGAGTGAAGTTGGGAAACACTTTCTATTTGAATTTGATCACGATAGAATGTGGTCCCCTCTGGGATTCAGTACTATGAAATTTTTTAAGCTTAAAACTCAATTTTAGGAAGATATTTGTATTGTATATTTATTCATAAATAAGTTTATTGAAAATTTAATAAGGTTCTGATAGTGTTAAATGATATATTTTCTAATAACTTTTTTCTTTTATTCCTCAGCCATTGTCACTGATAATTAACATTATTTTCATTTAATAAAAATTATTTTACATATAACATATTATTATTATTAGGTGAATTTAAGGGAATATAATATAATTTTTTATTTGATAAGTCTCAATTATTCAATAAAAATACCTTACTCGCAAATGCTTTGGTTTGCTAATACCTATTCTATTCCCTACAAAAATTTATGATATTTTTATAATTTCTTGAATCGCTCAAAATCGTTTTCTATATGCACGTCTTTTAACTTTGTGAATTTAAATATAAATAAAATATTGTATTTTAGACTAATAGGATCTAATTTAATGTTATTATTTCAAAATTATTTTTATGTGTGACATGCAACATTATTTATAAATCTTTAAAATATGGTTAAAGACAATTTAGAAAATGTTGTTTTTTAGAATTAGAAAAAGTAAACCAACTTAACTAATATTTGTAAACATTTGTTTGCTAATGAGATTATGAAAATCCAAATATTTATAAATAGAGTTTTTCTCTATATGATAATTATAAATAAAAATAAGGAGAAAAGAGTGACTATGTTTGAACTTAGTTTTTTCTTTTTTAAATGTTTTTAAAATAAAGAAAGCATGTTTTTATGTAATTGCCTAACCTTTTATTTTAAAAATAAGTAGTTTTGTGTTTTTTCTTCTTCTTCTAAGAAACAACTCTTAAATGATTCTGAAATAAATAACTTTTTTTTTAAGTTACTTCAAGAAATATTTATTTTAGTTTTAACATGTGTGTGTCCATACATCTATTTTAGATTATATATTAAATTAATTTTTATAATAACTTTATTTTATTAGAAATATAATTTTTAAAATAAATAGATTGCTTTGAAGATATATAATTTGATTAAAATATATTCACTACAAGATTTTTATCTTTAAAGAACTATTTTTACTATAGTTAATTTTTAGAATTTTTTAATTGAAAGAATAGGGAAACAACATTAACTTTTATTTTTTATTTAATCTAATAATTTAATTAATGATTTGGCTCAACTTTTTTTTCAACGGTTAATGTAACATAAGTGTACAAAATATAACTAGTATTAATTAACTATATTCTTTCCAAGCCAAAAGATAATAAGTGATAACTATATTTTTTCCATAACAATTTATTCTTTTCCCTCCTAATTAGTTTTATCAGTTAATCATCTTTTCTTTTTCTATTGTTTCCTTCTTACCATCTCCCTTATTTGTTTGTAGACAAAAAAAAAAAAAATGAACAAGAACAACTATTGCTTCCTCTTCCTCATCAAAATAGTTAATGATAATATGATGGTCAATATTATAATAGAATGAAATGATTTTACTTTTAAATAAATCTTGAATTTCTTTTAGTTTATTTCTTAATTTTAGTTTTTCTTGCCCAATTTACACTATTTAATTCTTAGTTTTTTTTGTTAGTTTTAATGATTAACAAAAGTTTTTTTTTCTTATTACGAAAGACTAGCATTGTTGTAAAATGAGTTTTTTACGTCACCCAATTCTCGTCAGATTAAAAAATAATCGACTTAAAAAAAATGCAGTGGTATTTTTGTAAATAAGGATTGCTACTTTTACGTTAACTTCTATGATGTCTAAAATAAAAGTCGCATTTTAATTGTTCTAGGACTTCTTTTTTTCCTCTTGCGTGTTATGGTTTTTTGAGTGACGATGGTGACAACAATCAAATTAGCTCCTTTCAAAGTACGTTACAACCACAATGAGTGATGAAAACATTTATATTGTGTCCCCTAATGTGGTGATTATGTTTCTCTCTGATTGAATTTGAATTTTAGAATGTTTTTTTTATTTTTATTTTAGGTTAGTGTTTTATGTATATATCTTTGAATCCGTGATTGTTTTTAGGGATCTCAATCACGTTATCGAAATTGAATGTCTCCACTGGATTGTTATTGAAATTGTGTAATTTGTGATTATTTGTTTATATGTTTGAGTGGATTTACTATTTATACATTATATTTTTATGTTTTCATGGTTTAGCTGTTTGAATTTTATGTTTTTTGTTGTTTGTAGTTTGAACTATAATATGATACCATGTAAACAGAAGATAATACAGTATATAGGGTTTAGGGTTTTATAATCATGAAAGGGAAACAGAAAATGTTCGAACAAGGATAATTTCTGACTTTGATGTCCGATTTAGACGCACAACATATGAAAATGAAAGGAAAAAAGCGAAGAAGAGGGGGCAAATACCTAAAAGGGATATGTTCAAACAATTTTTTCAAAATATGCTCCTAACCACATGTAATAGACAAAAGTTTGTACAGGTATAACTGATTCTTGGGCGAGATTAATTGCTTTCAACATTTGTGTAAGTTGATTTACCTTTATACGTGTTTCATGTTAACAGGAGTTAAATTAATGTTTTAGTTATTTTAAGATTCATTCATTTCTACTATCAGAACATGATATTATACAAATTAGAGAACAATGAGCAAAGTTTTTTGTTCAACATTTCTAGTACTTAGTTTGTAATTTATTGCTTGTATTATATTATATAGTTTAACATTTAGGTAGCTTAGCTTTTGTATTAGTTTAGACTTTGTATTAGTATAGTTTTGTAATGCTTTTTAGTCTTTGTATTACATTGTATTGCTGTATTTTTGAATTATTGTTTATTGAAATTTGGACTCGTTGTTGTGAGAAGAAAAATCCTACATCAGAAACATCTTAGTTTGGTGTTTCCTTTTCTTATTATAAAAGGAGCACAATATTTACCTTGTAAAATGCACCAAAATGACTTCCTTTTCTTTCCCTTGCTGCTTTAGTACTTGAGAGATAAATTAAGAGAGAAAAATAGTTTCTCCTTTTAGGTACTCTTAGAGTTATTTTTCCTTTATTTTCAGAAGAGGGTATTATTGTGATACATAAATACCATCCTTCATCCGAACAACTTCCATCCCTAGAAAGTATTTGAGTTGGCCCAAGTCCTTGACTTCAAATTCCTTGACTAAAAGTCCCTTCAAATGCTTGATTTGATCATAATTGTCTCCTGTGATAACGATATCATCAACATAAACAATGAACAGGGCTACCTTCCCTTCTGTGGAGTGTTTGACAAACATCATGTGATCTGATTGACATTAGTTGAATTCATCTTCTTTGACAATCCGAGTCAATCTATTAAACCATGCTCTCGGAGATTGCTTAAGGTCATATAAAGATTTTCATAGCCTACACACCATGTTTGAGGTTTTTGATGATTCAAGTCCTAGAGGAATTTGCATATAGACTTCTTCTTCTAGTTCACCGTTTTGGAAGACATTCTTGATGTCTAGTTGATAAAGTAGTCAATCTAAATTTGCAGCTAAAGAGAGTATAACTCATATTGAATTGAGTTTGACCACCGGTACAAACATCTCTTCTTCGTAGTCCACTCTATATGATTGGGTAAACCTTTTTGCCAAGAGTCAAACTTTGTACCGGTTTATACTACCATTTGCATTGTATTTGATGGAGAATATCTACTTGCATCCGATTGATTTCTTCCCTTTTGGTAGGGTGGTGATTTTCCATGTGTCATTTTTAACTAAGGTTTGGACTTCTTTTGTTACAACTACTGTCCATTCAGGTTGTTGGAGTGTCTCTTGAACGTTTCTTGGGATATGTATGATGTCAAGAGCTGCTAGAAACAACCTATATCTCTGTGACAATTTTTCATAGGACATATAATTTCTAATGGGGTGTTGAGTGCAAAATCTCACCCTTTTCTTAATATAATAGGAATGTCAATGTCATCAATAGATTCAGGATTAGAAACGATATTACCTAGGGAAAAATCATTTTTTGAAGTTTGGTTTGATTCATGACTTTGCCTTGGAGTTGTGCTAGACTCTACTTCCTTTCTTTCATGTACAGTCTCGGTTGTCTCTGCATTTGCTACTGTAGTTTTTCTTTGCTGCAGGTATAGTCTTGGCTGATTATGCATTTGGGATAAAGTGAGCTAGCTCAAATCCCAAAAGTTGGGAATCTGTAAGTTAGGATTCTGCCACTTCAATTAGATAAATCTGCTCCCCCTGAATGTCAACTTTAGGATAATAAGGCTGATTTTCAAAAAAGACGACATTCATGGTGTGGTAAAATTTCTTGGTTTGAGGTGAATAACATTTATACTCCTTTTGTTGGGAAGAATAACCGAGGAAAATACATTTTATGGATTTTGGGTCAAGTTTGTTGTGACGAAGATGGAGGTTATGGATAAAGACTGAGCATCCAAATATTTTCAAAGGAATTGATGTAAGGATACAACTAGTAGGGTATGAGGTTTGGAGAATAGAATGAGGAGTGTTAAAATTGAGGATTCGAGAACACATTTTGTTTGAGGTAGGTTGCAGAGAGAACAACTTCTCCCCAAAATTGGTTGGGTACATTTGTAGCCAACATAAAAGATCTGGTCACTTCTAAGAGATGTCTATTCTTTCTCTCGGCGACTCCATTTTGCTGAGGGGTATTTACACATAAACTCTGATGTATGATTCCATGTCTCTAAAGGTAGGAACTTAGTGTAGAGTGGTAATACTCTCGGCCATTATCACTCATAAGTACCATAATCCTACTTTGAAATTGCGTTTTCACCATAGTATGAAAAAAATTCAAATATTCTGCTAACTTCT